ACAAATATTATAATACGCCTATACGATTTTTATTTTTATTCTATGAACGTGTTATGAAAATATTGTTTTATTTCTGTTTATTTTTAGGTGTTGCGGGTGATGCGGTATGAAAATAAAGTTTATTTAAAACAGCGGACGAACGACAAAAAAATGCTATCGTTTTATTTTATAATACCTGTACCGCATAAATGCATATTGTAATGCATTTTTACACGCTTTCGAGAGCCCGCCCTGCGTCTAGACAGTGTTGTTATCATAATTTTAAGGTTCAGATGTTTATTGTCTTGCAATTTTCTCGTTTTTATTCTCAGAGAGAAAATCGTTTCATGAAGTTTATATTAAAATATCAACGTTTTATTTAGTATAGATGTATGTTTGCATATTTCCCATAAAAGCGTATATTTCTAATTCATAAGAAATCATTACATAATTTTTTATATTTTACGATTTTCGTCACAAAATACCAAAAAAAAAAAAAAAAATAAATATCCGTTTTCCAAATTGGATTCAAATACTTAGGTGCTCGCGCTAAATAGACGCACATACGCGCAATTTAAAATTTAAAACTATCCATAACGCAATTTTAAATATTTATATACTATATGTATGTATTACTAATTTATTTCAAAGTAAAATTTTGTCACTAACAGAATAATTACTTTCGGTAAATTACATATCGCATTCGGGAATTGAATTTCGTTCGGAAATCGGGTGGGCTACGGACAAAACTGAGCGGAATAAGCCTATCCAAGCTCTTCGCCCTCCTATTTGTGCCTAAAAGAACACAAGTATATTAGCATAACACAAATAACGAAAACGCATGGATCACACTCACTGCATAAGAAACCTACAAAGTGTTTTGTATTTTCGATTCGAACTCTGATTAATAACGAAGGAATAACAAAATGACGTATTTATTTTAAATTCAATGCATGACGAATTACGTAAAAATCATTTGCTATAATAATTTCCTATTAGCGTGTCACATAAATTATATACACTTTAATACGTGTTGACTAATAGATTTACAAACGGAGAAAAAAAAAAATGTTTAACCATGACACTTTTATGGGTATCTACGTGGATTTAATATTATTTACAGCTGCGGTGGAGTCACGGCATATATTACGTATACAATATACATTCCGCCTCGTCACTTTAAAATAGTGAATGGAATTATCCAGTCAAATCGTACGAGTGAAATGTAATTGACAATTGGTTTGTCGTCTGAGAGTACAAACGTACGATTAAATTCAAACGTTCACGAATGATGTATGACGTGCGCCGAAGTTCAGGACCGCGAAAATACGGTGGCCACCAGGCGATATCCATATTTTTTATTAATTCTACGTTGCCATATTGATCAATGTGTTTCAATAATTTATGACAAAACAACAGAAAACGTGTTACAGTATAGGACGTATTATACAATAATATTAATACCATTTTTGTGTTTTAGATTCTGAGTGCAGCGAAGAAGCTTATGGTTTTAATAATGATGTTTTTTTTTTTTAATTTGTGAATAACTTTTCTACCAGAAATATTGCTCCGATTTACAAGTGTAGCTCTTTTTTTGAAAGAAAATCTCACCGGTGCGGTACTTTAAACAAGTCACTTTTTTGACTTTCCCAAGAGTTTTCTCAGCAAATGGGAAAAACCGGAGAAAAATGGAGGAAAAACGGGAAAACGTACGAAATGCAGACAATAGTTAAAACATTTTACAGCGTTTTTTTTCCTGAAAAAAATTTTTCTACCAGCAATTACGTTCCAATTTACAGTGATAGCACTTTTTCTGATAACGAATTTGATTCGGAAGGTACTTTTAGGGAGGTCATTTTTTGATTCCCCCCAAGAGTTTTCGCAGAAAATTTGAAAAATCGGGAATAAAACACGGGAAAAATAAGAAAATCGGTAAAAATATTAAACAAATATTATAAAAGAAAATATATAATGCCTAGTAAATTATTTTACCACAATACGACATATTATGTCTTTATATAATTATTATTGACAAAGCGCATCACTGCTTATCATGCATAATGACACACCATTTTACCATGACAATATAAAATATTTCTAGAATATGAAAACGCGTTCTCCGTTTTGCCCCGGGTGGAATTTTATCTTGCGGGCTCGCTTGAAATTCAGGATAATATATAATAAGATAGGGTGATCTGTGGTACGTACGTTTTAGGAAAGATGTCATTGAAAAGACATTACACGAGAAAATTAAATTCGGAGAAGATAATTCTCGTGAAAGTATAAAACTAGAAAGTTACGGAGGTATTTCGTTCGTTTCCCATTTATTAATATATCCTTCCAGAAAATATTTCCCCGCCCCTTTCCCTCCTCCCGCGTAATCTCTTTAGCCGTGAAATATTTCCCGACGGCGACACGAACCGTCGAAAAATATCTTATTCGCGTCGATACTGTACGGGCAAGGCGATTAACCTGACGGCGGCGGCACGTCGGACGCACGTGCGTCGGCCCAGAACCGAACGTGGGTAAACAGTGATCGATATAATATTTTTTCGAACACGATATTTTATATTATTGTTGTATTTGTGTGCGTGTATACAATATATAATATACACACATACATATTATTATATGTACGGCGACGACGACGACGACGGCTCGTTATTTTATTGACACTGTATTTGTTTGTCTCCGCAGAGATAACGGCGGACGTTCCGTGTACGAGTACGAGAGATAAGGCGAAACGGTTTTTTTTTTTTTTTTTTTTTTTCTAGCAATATCGATACACGCATGTACTAAATATACAATAATAATATAATGCTGACTATGTGCGCGATAGTTGCTTGTGTATATTATCAACTATAATATACACGAACACGATATTATAATAGTGTTTCGTGTGTGTGTGTACAAACCGATCGATAAAAAAAGGCGTGCAGATTTGTCAACAAGGCGAGGTCGCGTACAGTTAACAATATCATAGTACGCCGCCTATAATAATACAATACGTTTTGAAACTTGCGTCATCCCGTATAATACGTATTGTACATAGTATAGCGATATTGTTGTGTACGAAAATGAAAAATCCAATACCGATTCGATATGACGTAAACGTAAACGTTGGCCTAGATTTACGGTAAATGGCGCAAATAATAAAATTTAGGTATTAAAAAAAAAAAAGGGCTGTTACTGATGAGTTAATGGTCGTGCTACCGTGTTTTTAGTAGTGAACGAGGACGGAGTTGAAAGGGAGGATATACCTGTAGAGCGATTTAAATTTATATCTGTACACAACGATAAAACGATTTTGAGCGGAGTATTATTAATCGTACTTTTGTCTCTTTCCCCTCATTTCGCCAACGTAACCGGGAAACCAATAAAATAGTGTACAGGGAAATTCGTTTTTATGTATTATACGTGATCAAAGAAATTTAATACGTTTTTTACGGTAACTTTTTTTTTTTTTTTCAAAATAAAGTGAAAAGTTAACGGTTTAGGGGAACTAGTTTATCAGATAAAATTATGCAGTGAAAGATTGACTTTCACCTTTTTTGTTTGTGTTGTTCCGTCTTTTTTACGTTTTAACATTTATTGGATTTTCTAAAATGTCAATGTTTTTTTTTAAATTTTTTATTTTATTATAATAGTAGATCTTCTCGTTCACCTCTATCCCAACTTTTTGAGATCAGCCATACTCATTTTAAACTTCCACATGACTCGATCCCTTACATTGTCCTCGTATACACCCTCCGTTCTCATATCATTCCGCATCCAACCACCTCTTTTTTGATATATCCCTACCTCTTTTTCCTCTTTAGTTTATTTTCATTATAAAACTTACTGTTTTCGATTCCTTTCTGTTCATAACATGCCCAACTATCTCAGTCTATTTTCTCTCATTTTGTCTATTATCGAATAAAACGCCTAAGCTATCTCTTATGTAATCATTCCTTATTCCATTGTCTTTCCTCGCGCCAATTATCCAATTACGCCTTCTCATTCGAAGGTTCAATTTATCTGTCTACAATACAATGTCTGATGTCTGTCATAATCGCACCACACTCTTACCTTAAACTGAATGCTGCGATAATCGTCGTAGGAAATCATCAATTGCAAAAAAAACAGAAAATGCCTTAAAGTTAAGAAAGTTTTAATTATGTGGAATATCGGCCAAACACTATTATTGAGGGATTTCAAACTTGGGCTGTCTTTGTCCTCCAAATCTCCAAATTACAGGTTTAGTGTTTATATTATAATGAACATTATTTAAACAATTTTTCGAAATGTCCAATACTTTTTCCAAAAAATTGCTATTTATGTTTCTTTGATTTTTATTTGATATGAAACGTTTTTTGTAACTCTCAAAAATTGATCCCTGAATCAATTTGGATTTTAAGCGTATTCGTTTTACTACAACGTGTTATATATATATTTTTTTTTATCTATGAACAATTTATTTTTCAAGCAGAAACAATCTGATCTCTGCTATCGAATCGTTTTCTAATTGGTGCATTTGGAAGGATGCATACTTTTATATTCCGTGTATTTATTTTCGTACACAGTACGTTATAATGGAAAATAAGAAAACTTTCTAGTTTCTCGTATATGACCGGACGGCGGCGTACAATAATACTCGGATACGTCTTGATCGTCTTACGAGCCACAATATTATCCCAAATGTTTTCTCCTACACGTCAATTATAAAGAATTAAGTAACTTGTTCCGCAAAATACTCGCGGTGTTAGAATGGATAATTTAAGACGAAATATTTCATTTTTAATTTGCGGGCGGAGTGATAGTAAAACGTCGCGAAAAAAAAAAAATACCGCGGTATTAACTTTTCTTCGAGCGTTTTCCGAGTTGTACAGTGCAAACGACGAGATAACAAATATACTTACGTTTCTATCCTGACAAAATTGCACGAGGTAGTTCTTCCGAGGATTTACACTTTTTTTTTTTTTTTTTGACATATGAGTTATACCCGCGTAAAGAGCGATCGAAATAAAAACAAATTTCATATACCATTATCGTAACAATTATATTTATTTATTTATTTATTTATCTATATAATAATAATATATATATATAAATGACCAAGTAATTTTTCAATTAATATTATTCAACAACCGTCGTGTGTTTTTCGTTCGTTTTTTTTTTCTTTTACTCTATGTACAACTTAAAAATTACAAAAAATACATATAATTATGCGACCGAGCGAGCGGCGCTGCAAATAACGGTTCTAACAATAAAAATATATGTAAACAAATTAAATACACGTAATGACTAGTCTTTTTTGTTTAAACTCTTATCAAAGTATTTAATAATAATAATAATAATAATAAATAATAAGGATAATAATGATAATAAAATTAGCCTAGATTTTTTTTTAGCATTTTTTTTTTTTTTTTTTTTACAAATGGACACAATATTAATTATTTAATTAATGTTTTCTTTTACCGAATATAATAATTATTACGCGTACGCACTACGCTCTACGTTTTTGCGATACACAAAATCTCGTTAGTAGTATTTTTATATAATATTTTGTAAACATTAAAAATTGTTCAATAAAAAGAAACGCCGCATTTTATCATCATAAAATCACACGATGCGCGATTCGAACGGCGAAACGCTCGTAAACGAATAATCCAAAAATCCAATGCACATTACAACAACATTACGAGTACCGTTATAGCCAAAGTAAATATTATATTATACGAATATTTTGTACACGCTGAAGATTCTCTATCTAAGAGTGTAACCACGGTTCACGTGGTTATACCGGCACAGCCCCGGCGTGGGGGATTTCGCGCTGATCGCAATAATATCTGTTCGAATATCGACGGAAACTATTGTTTGCGTTTGCGGGCGAAGCGGTTAGGTACATTAGAACTTTATAGGCGAACTGCCCGAACGTAAAAATAACAGGTAAGTACTAAGAATATCACGTTGCAGACACGACGACCGCGACAAAATATTTATTTGTTATCAATATCTTATCCGTTTCGTCTGGCCGACGGTTATAAAATTATCGGGTGCGTATGTGTACACAGGTTCTTTTCGGATCGCGATAACGACGACGACGACGACGGTGAAATGACCTCAACCGAAAATCTACCCGACGAACTGACGGTTCGCCGGGGGGCGAAACGCCTCAGATTCCCGTGAATGGCCCGAAGTTTCCCCCCCCCCCACTCGTTGTACGCTCCGATTTGTCTCTAAACCCGTCGCGGTTTTCCGTCGACTAGGACATTACCGCGGTATCTGCACGTTCGGACCGACAGTAATTGCTATAAGTTAGGTTTTCGTACCGAGCGAGATGGGAATTCGTGTGTATCTAATATTATAGTCGGTATAGTCGAACTATGATTTTTTTTTTTTTTTTTTTTTTACGATTATAATATTTATTTATTTATTTTATATCTGCAATATTGGACGCCGAAAGCGCCGTACGATATTATCAACGCGCGTCTTTATTACAGTTTTTTTTTTTTTTTTTTACGATTATAATATTTATTTATTTATTTTTTTTTTTTCATTTTTATTAATAACGATATAGGTACATACAGCATACACATATTATAATATTATACAGCGTGTACGGTGGCCGGAAGATGTTATACATCGCCCACGAAACATACATATGTAGGAAGACAACATTAGTACTCTCTGCAGCAGTCGGCCGCGCGTACGTCGATCACTACCGCGGTCTGTACCGTCGACTGCCGCGCGGTTACCACCACGTCCTCGGCGTCTGGCCGTGCATCAGCGGATGCGAATACGACGGCAACACCATTTGCTCGGTCTTGCCGCCGCCGCCGCCGGCCGCGCCTGGCTGCTGGTTGGTGCAAGGCTTGCCGTCCCGGACCAGCACGGGCACGGCCACCCGTCTGGGCGACGACAGCGCGTTGGCCGCGGCCGCCGCGTGATGGTCGACGTGCATGCCCTTCTCCTGTTGTGCCCGTTTCGTCTTGTACCTGTGGTTCTGGAACCAGATTTTCACCTGAAACACGCGGCAAAAACGGCGTACGTGTCAGACGGATGCGGTAACAGAATATTGCGCATCATTTAGCGCACCACCATGTTTACGCGGAGTTTTTTTTTTTAGTGCGCGTTAATATAAGAGAGGACGTCGCGCCTGCGCATTCGCTGTTTCCGTCTTGCAAACGCAAACAACAATTACATAGTGAAAACGCGCCTACGCGGACTACACAGAGCTCGATTGGTTTCGGTTCGCGAATAAAAGCACCTATTACGAAATTAACAGAGGTCAATATTCCGGGGGGCGCGGAGTTATTTTATTTTAATTTTTTTTTTTAAGTTTCAGAGAATTAAAAAAAAAAAAATGAAAACGTCGAAAAAGTCGTTATTTGTAAAACGGTAAATTGCGGACTGTTATATTCGGGAAAAATGGAAAAAACGCGACATTTTGCTCCTTATCGTTCTCTTTTGATTATATAATGGGCGTCATTAATATTCAGTTGAAAAGGTACCGGTGTGCACCGCATGTGCGAAAAACCACTTTTTCGAAAAAACTCAGCAGAGGTTACAGGACAGAATCTATTCTGGTTGCCTACGAATAAAAGACAAACACGTACAATTTCTACAAACTCCTCGATGCTAATATTATTATCTGTTTATACCCTACGGTTTTGCGGTTTTTACGGTTTGAACGGAGGAAATAGTATGTTAAGACGATATTTGTCAACCGTCTCTTAACCCATTGTCGACACGAAATGCTGTTTTTTTCTTTTCACTATGTACGGACAGAGGGTCACGCCGACGAATAAATAAGTTCACCCGCAAACACTCGAGTATGATATTATTATAATAATACCGATTATGGTATTTCAGGTGCGTTTACGGGTTTAAGCACGTCATGCGGTATCGTCGTGATGTCAAAATTCTCGATTGCGAACGAGTCTAGAAATTATTGTATAATACGGACGCCTCTAAATTATTGTGCTCTGTACGTGCAACGTCAACCGACCGGCGTACCTGTAATAATCGGGGAACGAGATTGTGCGGCACTTCAAGTTGCGTAAATATACCTATCGAATCCCATAATGCGATATTCCCGATTTGTCAGAGTATGAATAAAAAAAAAAACGTAGAATATTAACGACGACGCGATGACGATGGTGATCCGCCCACATCGGCGTTACGAAATATCTTAATTCGTTCGACGACGAAACGGCCGATAAGGAAAATCGATACGAAACCGTGTACGGACCGACGAACCGCCGTGGCCGTGAATCGAACGCCGCGTCGTAATCGATTCCCCGTGAATTTTGATTATTTTTATTCCGGTCGAAATAGACACTCTCCGACGGCCGTTTCGGTCGGAAATCGCGCGAAATCGTAACCGCGCCACCGCCGTCGGGCCGAAACCCACCCCTGTTATCCAACGTTCGCGTCCGCCATCGCGTAAACAGCGCGTTCATTGTCACGGGTATCCTCTCCCCCCCTCGGGTTCACGAATCCCCCGGCGCCGGCACCCTCCCGACGCGGCGGCTCCCCTCGGTTTTCGGCGTCTCCCTATTATATCCCGGCGCGGCGAGTGCCCGAAAACCGGCCCGTTATTCGCGATGACTTTTCTCACGCGCGCCGTATCGGTTTGAAAACAACACCACAACAACGATAATATTACACTGTCGATCGTAAAAAAAAAACGGTTCCGCGCAAAAACACAACTGACCTGCGTTGGAGTGAGCCGGATGATGGACGCCAAGTGTTCGCGCTCGGGCGCCGACAAGTACCGCTGCTGCCGGAACCTGCGCTCCAGCTCGTACGTCTGCGCCTTGCTGAACAGGACGCGACGCTTGCGCTTCTTGTTGTGCACCGTCCCGTTGCCGTCGGACGGGTGTCCGCCGCCCGCGCCGGACGACCCGGACCGGTCGTGTTCGCCGACCGCGGCGCCCGGCTCGTCGTCGAAATCGTCGTCCATCTCGTCGCCGTCCGCCTCGGACGGTTCGCCTTTACCGCCGGCGCCCACGGCCGATCCCGGTCCGCCGCCCACGCTCACCGAAGTGTCGGCCGCCAGGCCGCTCGGCGTGCTCGACGTGTCCGTCAGGTCCGTCACGCCGGGAGACGTGCTGTCCGGGCTGGCCTGCTGGGTCCCGTGGCTCATGCCGAATCCTGCGGGCAAACCGAATACACACGGTGGTAAATTTTGGACGTTTGAAAATACGCGCGTGTCGATAACAATATTAGAAACGAGTCAACATAGATATTATGTTTAAGGTAACGGAGAGGGTGTTCGTCGTGTTGTTATATTCATTTTAAACGCTCTAAACGGAACGAGGTTGTGCCAATAATACATATCAGTAAACGGAATTCAATTCGAATCGTTTTAAGTAACGTTTTACTGCAACTCTTGAAAAATTGCTGTTTTTTTTTACTTGCGAACTCCGGTGGTTCGGCTGGGGAAGGGGAACGTTTCAGTTTTATTGTCAATGGTACGTTTTAAAAACTCGAATTATTTTCATTCAAGGTAAATTCTTAAATACCCATTAGGTTATACGTAATCAAACTCTATTTAATTTATACTGAGCTGCAAGCATGTGGTATGCCATATGCGTAGGATAGTATTTGAGGAGTGGGTGTGTTTCGTACGGTTCGTTTTAAAACCCTAATAGTATAAAGTTTTTATAAACGAATGTGCGGTGTGAGTGAAAGACATTTCTGAAGTTTTGTCCCCGCGATGGACTTCCCAAAAGTTCGGTTGGGTTTAGTTAATTTCCCGGTACACCCCCCAACGATCGGCGAGTATAGTCGACCTCCGAAGTTTTTCCAACTTTAACCGCCGGTAAACTTCGTCCGATTACGGTGTTTTTATTACATTACCGACCGTTCACCGCGACTTTTAAGTGGAAATTGATACCACGGGCGATGAACCGATATTTTTAAGCCCAGTCCGCAAAACCCGTTACAACAGAATCTTTTACTCTGTTGTAACTTACAAAACCAAAGCGCGTCCGAATCGCTGCATCGTTTGCAGCTGTTCAGCTGTTGTTTACTGCGCGGTTGCAATATCATAAAAACGTTTTGTTTGCTGTGTACAGCAGTGGTTCTTAAACTTTCGGTGCACGCGGACCCTCGATGAAAGACTGTTAGAAATCGCGGACCCCAACCAATACCTTTTTTTTTTTTTTTTTGCAAAACATCTCATGTTATCATAATCAATATTTACCGATAGAACCGCCGTGGACACTATTTACGGATAACCGGTAAACGTAGTTTTTAATTTGTTACCGATTCCGAGAACCCGATTATCGAAACTGATTTGAAGCTACAGTTCGATAGCTATTACTTTTCTTTACGAAACGTTAATATTGTCACAAGTCGTAGCAAAACTATACTCCGGCCCACGAGAGAAGGAACCCACCATCCCACCATCGAATACATCAATAGCTGTATAACACAGCGTGTACACGGCGTGACAGGACGGTGCTGCCCGGAAAGTTTGAGTAGGGAAATAGTTCCCCGAGACGTGTGTTGCCACATACGAAACGAGATCCTTCTCTCGCTGGCCGGAATGTAAACGTGGCGGTTTGGTTATTCCAATTCCTAATGCCATAACCTCGTTCTCTAAGTAGATTAATGTAAAAAAAAAAAAACTGTCCCAGAATAATGGAAATGGGCGCACTGTACGTTTACTGTTGTAGGGAACTAAAGTTGAGTAGGTAGGATATAGACGGAAATTCAATGTATATTTGTACGCAACAATTAACCATTAATAACGATAAAACGAGTTTGGTTGTCATGTAAACAATACATAATATATCATATTATGGTAAAATAATTACATAATAGTATGCATTAAACATTTTCTTTAATAATATTTGTTAAATATTGTAGCAATTTTCCCGTTTTTCTTGAGTTTTTCCCATTTATTTGGCGAACTCCTGAGAAAATAAAAAAAAAAAAACCACCCTAAAATACCACTCCCGTCAGATTTCTTTTCAATTGTAAATCGGAGCGAAATTACTGGTAGAAAAGTTGTTTACAGATGGAAAACAAAAAAACGAAAAAACAACATTGTATAACCAACACATTCCTTGCTCCGCTCAGAATCTAAAATAATGAGCTACGGGTAACACGGATACGCGCAAAGCTTTGTGAAAGCAACCGTTTGTTAGTGTGGGGGAGGGGGGGGGTGGGGGGTAAATAATATTTTAAAATTGAATTTTCTGAAAACCGCGGTTTTTCAAGTCGCGGCGGTCTCGCACACCGAGGGTGCGAATAAACGATCGTCGCGCGGTATCGGTTACCGCACCCCGGGTCGTCGCAGCCCCCAAACAACGGAATCGCAGGCCGGTAACCGAAAAGTCGTTAAACGCTAATCGTCCGCGTCCGTGTTTCGTCGCCCGCGACGCATCTGCCCGCCGTCCGATCCCCCGTCCCCCGGGGGTTTGTTTTCTTAGACGGTTTCTCCGCGGCACCCCGGGCATGTATAGGTGTCCCCGGTTTTCTCGGCCGTCCCGCCCCGTCCTTGCAGTTACACGCATTACACGTGTACATTGTTGTAATGTATTATATTGTGTATCGATTGCGACGGGGTAGCGGACTCGCGAGCTCTCGAGACAAACGGCGCGCGATGTATTTCGCGTCCGCGCGAGGCGACCATTTTGTCTCCCTTTTGTCGCGACGGTGTATTATGCGTGCGTGTCATAGGTAACGGCGGCGGCTATTGTACCGCGACAACGTACGCGCGGATTATCCGTGTACCCTATTGATGTTATTCGGTTTTGGCGAGAAAAAAAAAACCCGCCGTCTCCCCCCCCCCCGGGCCCACCTACTACTGTACGCCACGTGTAATATTACGTACGGTTTTTTTTTTTTTTTTTTAATTTTTTTTTCCTGTTTCTTTTTGTTGCGCTCTCCGAACCCCCGTGCAATCCGCACAATGGTCCGCGCACCTCCGGCCGGCGGTTGTCGCGTCACGCCCCGTCGTCGCCAAACTCCACCCCGCGCGCGGTGTGTAATACACACCGCGGGCGCGCGCGCACGCGCACGATCTCATCCGTCGCCGTAAATAACAATAATAATAATAACAGTAATACACGCGCGCCGATCGATTGTCCGCGTCGTCCGCGTATAGCGCGCGCGCGCGTTCGGCTCCCGAACGCGACAACGCGACATAATGCGCGTATTATTATTATTATTATTACATTATTACCGTACGCGCGCGTCGCAGATGTTCCGCGCGCGGGTATTCAAAACGCCATACGAAACGCATTTCGGCGTCGCGCGCGATTTCACGCGCAAATCGGGACATAATGAAACGCGTCGCGTCCGCGTCCGCCGCACAAAAGCCGACACGTGTTCGCGTAACGCATAACGTGGCCCCGGCGTCGCCGTCGCCGCGAACAACGTTCCTTTACACGTCACCGCCGTTGTTCTTGTGGGCGCGCGCGGTGTCTATACGCGCGACTTTTCCGGGGCGTTCGCGCGCAACGGCACCGCGTTTACGACGCCGCCGCCGCCGTAAACGCGTTGTGCCCGCCGGACGCGCAGCTGCGGCCGTTAACCGAGTCTTGCGCAAGTCGGAAACTCGGCGGCTCGACTCCCGACGCGATTTCCACGGACGTTTCTCGTGCGCGAGGCACACGCGTGAAAACGCCCGCGTAAATTAACGAATCGACCGTCGCCGTTCGTTTCGAATCATACCGGCCAGAAATCCGCAAACGTCCCCGATCTACGAGAAACAATAGAATTCGACACATTCAAATCGGGTTCCTCAAAAACCGTTACTACCCCCGTAAACGCGTATTCCGAAAAATGGCGGAGGGGGGGTTGGGGGTATTAAAACCCTTCTTCCTCGGAATATTTAACCGGGCTTTTTCGCGGATTTCAAGCGCACGTACAAATCCGTCATCCTCCACCGCGGATTATCAATACGGCGTGCCAAACAGATGAGCTGCAACCGTCCAACGGCGGAAAAACCAGGAGACCGAAATCGACGATAGCTTATTGTTTTCTCGTTTGATTATTTTGCAATTGTTAAGGGGGATATATTTTTTTTTTTTTAACGTCCGATAGGTAACCGATCGGCTCCGCCCCTCCGAGGAGCGAAAAAAAAATCCCCCGCGCGCTCCGCCGCCGCAATAATAATACATCGCGCGTATAAACCAACTACTCGGGTTTACTCGGGGGCGCTGCTACTTCTGTTTTTAATATAAACCGTTGTCGGGGTCCCGGCGGCGGCGGCGGGCGCTAAACGGGCGGAGAAAATCCGCCGTAAATCTGTTCGCCGCGGCCGCCGTCCCGCGGCGCGAGAGGGGGCGCGTTTATAATCCACTTAGACGCGGGCACCGAGCTTTGCGCCGAGCACAAGTCTCGGGTTTACGCGTTTATTATTATACGCATACACACGCATATATACATAAACGTGTGTGCACGTGTGCGTATATACCGACGCGCGTTAAGGGTGAGCGCGATACTACGGCGGCAGTGGCGTCGCCGGGAGCCTTATTTAATTTGTAAACTCCGTGCCGTCCCGTCCGCTGTGTGTGTGTGTTTGTATACATACATACGTATATGTATACCGACCGCCCTTTCCGACCCCGCGTACATAACGGGTTTAAATTTGTTTTTTAACGTCTGACCGCCATTAAATAATATAATACAATACGTATATAATATTACAATATACAACCCTAATGTACACACCGGCTCGTACAATTTAACATGTATAAATAATTCGCGTTTCAGCACTCTCGGTCACTCCGCCACCCCCCCCGCCACCCCACCCGTCAGCGCGGAATGAAATATAATAATACCTACGTATTAACCGACGCGGCCTTTTCCGGCATTTTCTCTCTCTCTCTCTCTCTCTTTATAGCTCCCCGTCATTGTCAGTCGTATTAAATACACACGCTGCTGCGCGCGCGTTGTTTGACGATTTAACGGGATCGGATTTTTCGCGGATTTTTTTTTTTTTTTTATTACCGTCCAACAGTTATAAGGCCGACGGCGTATTTATGGGGGGGGGAGGGCTCAAAGGACCCCTGCCTCCCTCTATTAACCGTATGTATTTTAATTACTATAATATTAACTGTATACAGATGAGTATGACCGGGCCCGACTCAAGAAGGGGTAGGTGACATACAGGCCCACGACCAGGTGCCGTTTAAAATTGTTGACGTAGTATTTACGTGTATAAGGGGCGGCAAAAGTTGAGTTTGCTTATAAGTGCGTTTAAACGTTCGAGTACTATAACCTTACGTAATATATACGTACTATTGTGTGTAATTCGTACATAATCGTCGTGATCTAAAACTACAACCGATAAAGTGTCAACACGTGCATGACGTCATGATGAACATTTTCAGGAACAAAAGTTTGTTGGTAGAAGTTCTTGCGGAACAAAATGTGACGTTTCGCTGTCGCTGTCGCAGTTAGAGTTGTTTATTTGTAACGATAAACTATTGCTGACGAAAATCGATTCTGAGCGGAGTTCAGTTAAATACGTTGTGAAAAGACATAATTTTTTTACGATTTTCGTCAAAATTTATACTCGAACGAGTAAAAAAGTAAAACTACTACATTACGGTCAACTTTATTTTTTGTGCTACTCCGTATGACTTATAATAATGAACCTCGTGTAAACTCATCAAGCATTTCTGGTCAGTTTTATCCTCATGACGAATTTTAAATGCTTATAAATATGTTCAAAAATCTACATTAAGTAAAAGTATTTTGTGAAAACGTATGGTTTTTGCGATTATTTTATGCATAGAATAGATTATATATTTTATAAATAATTAAGATTATAATAATTGAAAATAATGAAATCATTGATGTCGTAAACTTTCGCGTATTTCCTACGCCGAATTTTCCCAATTATTGAGAAAATTACACGGCAAATCAATAAAAAAAACTTTCTGACACCCTAACTAGGTATACGCATCACCCATTAAATTGTGATAGAGCACACACTCATATTTCTCTTAAAATTTAAAATATTGAAAAAATAGTGCAAACGTCGAACAGATAATGTTTTTATCTTTAAGTTTGACAATAGATCAATTCGCTGTAATATTACAACTATAACAGCACAATGTTGTCAATGGTGAACGAAAGTTTGCAATGTCGTACGTTTATAAGTCAAAGATAGATAACACATAAGTGACATGACATTAAAAATAAACCGTTTTGTATTTGATTTTTGTGAAAAATACACTAGAAATATTTTTCAAAACGTTCCTATAACGAACACCCAGTATTCGGAAGGAACGCGCGTTCTTCAAAAGCCGTTATAATATTTTTACGCGCGTTTTGTGTTTGTAGTACCTACACAATTGATAGAAATCTACGAACAGTCCTCAAACAATAGATTTTTCGAGTAAACTTCGTTTCATTGCAACAGTAAACGCGTAAGCAAAAATTAGAACATGTTATAATTCGCACCGTGGGTGCACCGTTAAAGAAGGTGGGAATCTGGGAAACTATAAGATTTCATGTAGGATAATTTATAATTTATGTAAACCCAACGATAAATCGTGTTGCGATCGGATAATAATCTGAGTTCTGCTCAGAAACGCGCGTGTTCTTAAAACGCCGATAAGTAATTTATTCTAATATTATTGATAATTTCCGTTAGTATCTTACCTCTGAGTTCTGTGAGTGACGTGGGCCAGTGATGTAACAGGTCGGCGGACGATTGCAGGACGCTGGGAAACTGAAATCCCGTACTCACGTTGTGCACGTCGGGAACTGTTACGGAAAAACAACATTATGAACAAGTGAGTTTTGTTTTTTTTTTTTAACTAAATAAGCCTAAAATAAACACGCCGCGTCGTCTCGAGAACGCACAACGAAAAAATCGTTCTTACCGTTGATATTGTGAGAACCCAGTGTAGTTGCGGTGTTGTCCGTCGAGTTCACTTTGCCGTCGTTCAAGTCCAAAATGTCGCATATGTGGAAACCCGACGGCCGCGTTTGATTGCTCGGCATTTTTATACTGTCCAAAAGCCTGAAACGCACAAAAACGAAGAATGGCGCGTTAGACAACATAATTATATTTTGCGGTGTACTGCGAAACGGTGCGCGTATTATTGTACCATATAACTTAAAAAAAAAAAAAATAAAATATTTTTCGCGACATCTCAACGTATACATTAATTACGAGAAATACCGGTGACATCTTTAGTCCCGGCGAAGAAGAGCTGAAGTCGATTTTTATTTAAAATTGTATCCTATATGCAATTTTTTACCCGTCATTTTTTTGGTCCGAACGGGATAAGTATTTTCGAAATTCGTACGTGCGTAACGTAATAGTGCGTCGACATAAAATTAATTTGTATTGAAAACTACAAAGACGTTATTTATTTCATCCCCGGAACCAAAGATTGATTTCGTCTTTTCTGTTTGACAGAGGTCGCAAAGTTGTTAGCGGATGTTTTCTATGATATAACGTTATGTATGTGGGGGTTTGGATTTTATAGCGACACAATAATTATGAGGTACGGACACAAATAGCTAATTGAGTTATAAATTAGCATGCATCCAGGCGCTTCAAATATAAAATTGTATACAGGTATGTTTTGCGTATCTGAAGAATTTAAAGATGATTATAGTGCTATTTGTCGTGATAGTAAATTTTTTTTTTTTTCTGTCATTTTTAACGGTTTTAGAACGCACTTGAACGTCTTGTTGGTCACATATCACATTGTAGCGCGTATCTCAGTAGTTTTTAACGCTGTATCGTAATAACNGTATACAGGTATGTTTTGCGTATCTGAAGAATTTAAAGATGATTATAGTGCTATTTGTCGTGATAGTAAATTTTTTTTTTTTTTTTTGTCTTTTCATAAATCTCGTTTAAATCGAAAAAAAAAAATCGTAGAACAATAATCTGTCGTTAATGTTAATCCATAAGAGAAATAACCGCACTTCAAAGTTCGTCAATAAGTAACATGTTCTAATGGATTTTTAGGTAATCCGATAAAACAACAAACGTATTAAATGATTAATTAACAAAACAAAACGGGCAAAAAACAATACTCCTTTTTTTTTTTTTTCTGTCATTTTTAACGGTTTTAGAACGCACTTGAACGTCTTGTTGGTCACATATCACATTGTAGCGCGTATCTCAGTAGTTTTTAACGCTGTATAAAATCCGAGCCCCGAGACGCGACCAATGCGCGCGACTACTGCAGCTACACCATAGTACCTGAACATCAACCGAACCGACAAAACGTGCACCATCCCCCCCCCGCCACCGCCCCCTACTCCCGCCGTTTCGTTCGATTCTTATTTCGATTGCCGCAATAACAATAATAATAATATATTAATATATGTATACACCTTTCGTCGGTCGCGCTCGCCCTCGGCCCACGCGGTGCCGAAGATAATAAAACTACAATAACCTAATAACAGTACGATAATAAAGCGCGGCGGCGGCGCGAGTTGTACGCGCCGATCGAATCGGGGCCGTTCGCATCGAGTGATACGTCAGAACCGAGAGCGAGGAGAACCCTCAACGGCCGATTTTTTCTTTTTTTTTTTTTTCCTCTCCCCGATGACACCGGATTTTCGGCCGCCGACAAATCCTCGAGAATTCCAATCGAGCACGTTTTCTTCCTGTGTGCGCTCGCCGCCCGGCCGTCTACACCGCATACGCATAACGTACACGCGCATAATAAATTTGTACCGCCGACCGCTGTGAAGTGAAAACGACACCTGTTGTTGACGGTGTTATTGTAACAGTGCCGCCGCATTACATGTAATAATAAATGCGTACCCGTAAGTACCTACACCCACACGCACTCGAAACCGGCGCGTTATTATTATGTCAGGCGTCGCGCTGTTGGTTTACGCGATCGCCTGGCGGTCAGCGTCGCGTTGCCGCCGTGGAGCTCGCCGGCGGTAAAGGCCGCGAGTAACGATATCGTGGCTGGGGAGGAGAGGCGTGGCGCGGTGAGGTTAGGAGAGAGGGGGGGGGGGAAATCGAGAGAAATCCGAGTGACGAACTCCGGAGTAACGGGCTCGGTTCGCACCGCGCGTACGTGAAATGTTAGGCCGGGAAATTTCCGTATCGGGCGACGACGGCCCGATGGCGCCCTCGCGTGCGAGACACCGGGAGTGCACCGCGCGATATCCGCCGCCGGAAACCAAGGAAACAACACTATATTAGTTGTTCGGAGATTCTGAACAATGTCTATTGGTTTTGACCGCGGCGTTTGTTTTGTTTTTGTAATTCGGTTGAAAATAATAACAACGATAATAATATAAAAATAATAATGTGTACGGACCACGCGTATTGTACAGCTACGATATAGTTTTCGAAATTGTTTAAGCTATTTACAAGAAACATTTGACATTTTAACGGCAAAAAAATTACGGAATTTCAAAATTTGCCGTAGGCCGAATTTCCCACAGAATCGTATTTCGTTAGTAATGATTTACCGTTGCTTATATATATATATATATAAATAATATATCTGTACCTATTCTACTTTTCCGAATTCCCATCCGCGGCAGTGGCACGTACATAAGCAGTATTAGGTTTTTTTTTTTTTTTAATTTTAGATATCTACATAATAATATAAATTAATTTCAATTTTTACATTCAACAACAACCAGTCCGAATTGCTGCGATTGTCTATGATCTAGGACAGAGAATCGTCGTCTCCAGTAAGAACTCGTCGAATCTCTACAATAACCGAGACATTTCGATCCGAGAACGCAGTCCGGCACAAACAGTGCGCAGATCGTTGTATTCCCCCTATCGGTATAAACTACATACGGTTTACTCGCGTTTATTATAAAACCGACGATCAAAATTCGTTGAGAGTTTTCCGGGCACAAAATTATCGTTTCCGTCGTAAAATATCGTCGTCAATTCAACAAATATCATCATAATATTATAAACCGAATGATCCTATCCGAACAATATATTGTTATCGTTTTAAATATCGTCGGACGATCGCAGTCTACGAATCCTCGAACGGAAACCCCTGTTATTGTTGTAATACTATACGAATTCGGGCGGTATGCGCGAGACAATCGATTCGATAACAGAGATCTATACTGTGCAAAAGATGTCTGATAATTTACTAAAATACAATATAAAATTTACAATATTTTCCTTGCGTACATCAACCCGGTGTTTATTATTACACGCGGATGATAACATTACAGAAAATAACGTGCAGACGAATGAATACTACGTTATTTCATTGGTCCCAGGGAAAAACGACTTGTTGTTCAATTGTGTACAGTTTTTAATAAAAGCTAATTAAATTTTGAAAATTGCCTAATGACGCCTATATTGCTAAATGGACTAACATTAATATGGAGTACGGTCATAAAATTATACGACTTGTGTCTTTTGCCGAACAAAATGTATACCCCATACATAATGACTCGAGATATTTTGATTTTCAATATACACGTGTTAGAATTGTTTAATACCTGCATATTATCTTATTATGCACGTATGTCATTTAGACTGTAAATGACGAAAAGCAAATCGCGTAAAACGAAAATATAAAAATAAAAAAGCCAATAATTGATTAAAGTTCCCCGGACCAAAGATTTAACGAACGACGCACAATCAGTGTACATAATAATCAGCGGCGTAATCACGAGGAGGGATCTGGGTATCGGATTTCCACCGTTTGGCATTTTTATTTTATAAATAACGGATAAAACATTTTTCGAAACTCAATTTAGAATGTTTAAGTACAAATTTGAATGGTTTCGATTAAATTCGAACTAAAATTCCAAGTAAAATCGTAATATTGGTAGCTAAGGTAGCAATGTTAAAAATTGTTCGCGAATACGATGACAAATGTGTATTCAAGATTTAAAATTAAGGTACAATACACAAGCACGCATTATGTACCTAATAGCTAAGTATTTTGTCCATTATAACCGTTCGACAGGATCACTTTCATCACTCAACAAGGCAATATGATATCTAACACCCGAAACGGATAGGAGCTTGGAGAAGAAGAAGAAGAAGAAGAAGATAATACCGATTGAACGAATTGGCCGTGCTGGCAGTACTGATAGATCCAGTAGACCGAATGAAATACGGCTCTGAAGTCTGCAAGTAGACTAGATCTGTATAGTTTTTCTTGTGCTATCTACCAACGATCTGCTGTAATTGAATGTCTTGTTTAAAATGCGAGAGAAATTTGATTGAATCGAATTGCTGTTTGAACGAAATAACAACTATAACATACCACGATTTTTTAATTATTTTCTTCGTAAACCTACCGCACAACCGCGTCCCCCGCCCTTTATCCCGGGAAAAAATTCCGACTTAGAGAAGCGCGTGGCCTCCGTTCCGTAAGATCTCGAAAAACCGTGTCAAACCTCCGCCCACCCCAACACCTAGCCGCCGATTTACGCGACTGCTCGCGACATAATTCGAAGTCGTGCGTACGATATTTCATTATTGTTCGTAATACATTTTCCCACTCGAAAAAATACACGCGGCCACCGCGGGCGCGTAATATTTCGGCGCGGGCGTCGCTTTGTCGGACGGACGTTATAAATATTACGAACACCTTTGTGCGCGCCGAGTAGTACCAATAATAATAATAATAATAATAATAGTAATAATGATAATCGTGCGTCCGCTCGGAGCGCGCAAACCGGCGGCGCTTTTTACGACCCGCGCGGCCGAGATAATGTATTCGAAGTCACGTACCCGCACGTGGTCGCGGTTCACCCTGTATGCGCGCGGACAGTAATTTGGTCGGCACCAATAAAACGGTGCGCGCGCGCGCGTTATACAGGTACCCGTTATACACGTACGCGTTATACGCGCCCGCGCGCGTCGTTTTTTTAACGTTATCACACGCGGACGGGCCCGCCGGACGCTCGGTTTCCCGGTTCGTAAATAACGCCGGGGCGCACACGCGCGGCCGATCGAACAGTGTCGCCGCGTAGAACGTACGGGGGCCCCCGATACACCTTACGGTCACGATGATAGTAATTGTGCGCACACTAAAAGCCATTATTTTACGACTGCCGGCGCGGCGTATATTTTACAATAATAATAATAATAATAATAATAATATTATTGCCCGTCCGAAAACGTCGCGCGCCCGTTACCGGTTTGCCCCGATCCGAACAGTCGGGTTCGGTTTTTTCCGGTTTTAATCCCGCGCGACGCGCGTACGGACGTATACGGGCGAACGGGTACCGAACGTACGATGATAATATTATTGAGTTGTACGCGGGCGTAATAATTTTTAATACATTTTTTTATTTTTCTCTAGCCGTACACACATTTCCAGTCGGCCCCGCGTCAGAAATACCATAATCATAATAATCATAATGATAATAATGATAATGATATTAACCATACGCAGGTACCGTACCGCAACGCGACGGCCCGGGACCGCGGGTTGTCGTCACTAGTCTTCGGGACCATAAACGTGAATTTTTTTTATTTTTTTTTTCTCTCTCGAATAATCCGCACTGCGGCGCACACGTAGTACAGTGGTTTTATGCGCGCAGCACGTACCTATACGAATACGAGTCTCGGGCGACGAAGCGCTCAATAACGTTTATTGGCCACGGGATTATAATATATTAGTAATATTATAAGTATATTAAGTATATACTTATAGGTTTCGATTATAATATTACCGTTTTTTTTTTCTCTCGTATCGTTGAGGTATTTAGTTTTTTTTTTCTCTATAGGTGGGTCGTCCCATAATAATATAACGCCGACCCACCGGGAAATAATCGTATTTTACCGACCCGCCGTCGTGTCGCAGCATAACGTAATAATACCTACCTACCGTCGTATAACGCAAAACGATTATTATTCCGTAATTTAATATTATGTTATTACGATAACTGGGTGCCAGCGACGATGGTTTCAGACCAAATTATATTATATTTCGGATACGTAATAATAATATACCCGACGAACGTCGCAAGCCGTTTATAACCCCGTCAAATATGGCCGTGTTAAATTTTAAGACCCAGTCGAAGGAGGATATTGTATTAGACAGGTGTTAGTGGAGTGGTTTTTTTTTTTTTTTTTTTAATTTTCGTTTTCGTGACGTCACGCGTCGTCATCGTCAATACGCGAGCGAGCGAATCGAGAGAGGCCGGCGATATTCCGATAACATAGCGAAAATCGGGACGGCCGATATCGTATACTGCACTTTTTTTTTATCTAAATTAAACGCACCGTCGAACTGCACTCGTATCAAAAACGGATAACGCGGCGCTGTTTTTTAAAACTCGGCCAATTGGGTTTACATCGTTGTCGCGGTAAACGCAATTAAATATTCAATTAAAATTCAAACGCGTTTTTTGAACTTTGTAAATTCAATCACGCCGGCGATTGTGTTGTAAGCGAGAAGGGATACTATAGCGTTTTCAAAACGTTCAGACCGATTTCATTTCATTATTTCGAACATTTTTGTTGAAACACCTTTCTTTGACCCGAGTGCAGTTCGGCCATTACATAGCTGTTTTTGATCTGAGTACAGTTTGGTTTAATAACCGAGAAAGGTAATCCTTTTTTTTTTTTAACCCAAGTGCAATATTCGACCGTGACCGTAAAAATTCGTTCGAAATACATACGAAATGGTCTTTTTAAAAATTAGTTTCAGAGATAAACTATAACCGACAATTTTGTTAGCCTCTTTACAGCTCAAACATTCAAAAGTCATGATTTTTTTTTATCGTAAATTCGAAGAGGCCTTTTCGTTCGTTTCACGTCAAATTTTGCTATACATATTATATTCCATCATATCACCCGTTATTTAAAGGCAGATACCACAAATATCATCACTGTGATGCATTTCGATCGATATATTTTTTCATTAATAAATCACATTCTGAAAAACAATTTCGAAACAATACTGCCGATTTGCGAGGTGGTATCTATGATTTTGATGACATTAAAATTCATTTTCGAACCGTATAGAAATAATTGACGAGAGTAGTTTTTTTTTAAATTTCAAAAGTATTACTATAGTAAAGTACAAAATTAACTATTAAAATAATATTTAAGTATGTAGAGGGCTTAATATCGCTCTAAAATATACACCTATATGCAATAATATGCATTTTATACAATCCGTCGACATGCGCTTTTTTTTTCCGTTCGGTTAACATTGTATAATATTTTATCATGTTTAATTATGCGTACAGTGGCGTATTTAGGGGGAAATTCGAGAGATATAATATCCGAAATTGATCGAAGTGTCGTACAGCATCGCGCGCGTGTACGTGAATACCACTCAACACAATGAGTATTTATATAGTTAAAAGACGGAATTTTTTTTTTAAATCTAATAAGCGTCCAAATGTTTTTACGTTTTTTTCTCGATTTACGATTTTTCAATATTGAAAATGTTCAAATTTATAATAATATGTATTTCAATAGGTAGTTTGTAATTTCTCGTCGTTTTTGTAATATTCACACTCGGAAATGATATGGCGATAACGTTTATGTTCGATTTATCGTTGTGATTTTACCGATCTTTTTATAAACAAAAGTTTGTTCTGTTTTTCGAAAAAAAAAAAAAAAACCACTATTTTAATTTACAGAGTGAACCGAACGCGAAGTGTGCGCGCAAACATAATTTGTTTAAACGGTATTTTCACGATTGACTGTCGTTAGAATATAATAAAATACGTAATATCGGTTTTCGCCGTTTAAAAAGATCGGTATTTCGAAACGTTAATCGTTTATGTATACGGTATTTGTTTCGCTTGGTTATCACTGCCTTGTCCAGAGGTTACTGCAAGATTTACTGTTATAGATTGTCCATTAATTAAACAGTTCGAAATCGTTTATTATTTTACCTGTGCCCGTGTAATACAACGAAATAGCCGCGGTGTTTTTCGTTTTTAAAATTGACGGCCCGAGACTCATAAAAAAACCGCGACGACGTTTAAACGTACGCGGTAATTAAACTCAAATTGTTCGCTTTGAGCGTTTTCCGTTTAATGGGATGTGCGAATACACCGGCGTAAGGCATAATTTTGCGTAACGAATAACCATAAGAGTGCTTGTCGAATTATTTTTACTTTTTTGAAGCGCGTATAATTTCTCAATTTGAAAAACGGCGTTCCACGACTTTTTCGGGGGACTTTAATACCGTATTTTAATACCGCGCACACAGTCCATAATTTTTCGAATTCTCGAATCCCGCAGTTTGCGAATCCTCAGCCGGTTATCGGGAATATTCGTTACGGTTTAGGTTATTGTTATGTCTATCGGATTTTGTAATTTCGTACGATGGGATTTTCGCGATATCGGCCATGCTATACTATTGTAATATTATACTCGTAATATAGGTAGGTATGCGATAAATATGGGATATTTTTTAAGGGGGTTTTCACTCGTGTGCCGTAATAAAATATACCATATGTATAAATACTGACCCCGGGAAAGCTGACCTCAGGGCGGCCGGATTGCACCAGGCGTACCAGGGCGGTATGATGGTCGGGCACCAGGCGAGCAGTGACGGCGGTATCCTCGGGTGATGGTGATGGTGGTGATGGAGCACCTCTTCGGCGGGCTTCGGGCTCTCGCTGTCCGACATGATGACGCCGGCGGTGGCGGCGCGTGCTTTCGTACGGCCGAGTGCCGGGTGCAGATGGCGAATAATCTCGAATCCGGGGCGGCGTCGCGCGTGCCCCCCCGAGTCGGCCGGACGAGCCGTCGGAATTCTCTGCGTGTACGGCGGGCGCGAAAACACGGTATCGCTTGTTATAATATTATTTTGACGCCGTCTGTATTTACGTTTACGCGCGGTTTTATAACTCGGTGGAAAAAAAAAAAACAAACAACAACAACCGAAAACAATCAACACTCGGCGTATAGGTACTCGTGTGACCGACGATCGCGCGGGCAGTATCCGTATACGCGTCTGTTGCGGCGGCACGGTATCTTCGGTAACCGTCGAACGGAGAGGAAACAGACGGGAAAAAAAAAAAAAATAAACCGAATGAACGGAATAATAATCGACGCGGACCGGAGAGAACCGGAGGAATATGACGAGAGACGGACCAACGCGGCGGACACTCGAGACGCGATGAGGGTCGGTCGTCGACGAGCAACCCACTTGAACGGCGCGCCGACCGCTGCGACCCCGTCGGCGGAGCGGCGTTCGTGCAGGGGAGGGCGCGAAAAACTCGTCCCGGGGGGAGTGGCGCGGCGCGGCGATTGGCCGCGGGGCGTGGCTACCGGAGGGGTAGGGAGCGGCGGCGCGCGCCCCTAAAAACCGTTGTCCGGCGGCCGCGGTGGCGGCGGATACATATTGTTATTATTATTATTATTATTCTCGTGATGTGCGGGCCGTGTACGTGCGGCGGCGCGGGAGATCGATTCGCCGCGAGTGTCGGGCCAATTATTCCGGGACTGTGCGCGTCGCGTTAAATAACATTTTCAGAAAAAAAAAAAAAAGTATAATTTTTTTTTCTAATCGGGAAAACAGATCACGAGCGTGTTTACAGCCGGCGGTAATAACCTCCTGGTTAAGGGAGTTTTAAAAAAAAAAAAAAAAAAAATTGCATATTTTTAAAATTTCCGACGTTTAATAATAATAATATCATACAATTATGTTATCGTTTATCGGTTATACCGCCGTCGGTCGATTTTTTTTTTTTTTTGTAAAGAAGATAGCGACGTTTAATTATAATTATTGAGATAAGATAATTTTCTTCTCTCTCGCGGCGTACGAGTGCGTAGACGTTATTAATTTTCAGCTATACAATTTTACGTTCTGTACAGTCGTCTTGCAAGTGATACCCAGAACCGGAAGTATGCTGAAGTAATTTCGATACAAGTATCTTAAATACGTTTATGTCAGATACAGAATTTTTATATTTTAATGTATCTTACCCACGTTGGCACCCAATGGGAGAGAGGCAAGCAGGAGCATTTCCTTTCCTGGCTTTCAGAAACGTTCAATAAACATTTAATGTGATAAAATAAATTGAAAATTTCGAAAAAGGTTTCAAATAAATAGATAAAACAATCGCATCTATTTATACATGCGTGAAAAATGTAATTAATAGTTTAATTTGTATTGTTCAAACTTTAAATACATGTATAAGTATCTTGTATCCATATATTCAGACGTTTTTTCTCTATAACTATACTCCTTTTGAAAATTAAATGAGAAAGAGAATATTATTGTTGCAGTTTCCTAGTATAACTTATTCAGCCAAACCGTTATTTTTATGGGTTATGGGACAAACACGTAGGTATACTCGTCTAAACGGATCACAATTTGCTGAGTCGATGCTTTCATTATTCGTAAGTCCGACGTACATTTAAAATACACAGTTATGCACGAGCTCTATAATGTAATCAAATTATTCTAAATACGCGTTTACAGTAATGCAATATAATATTTTCTTCAACTATCATATTGAGCCATCGCATCAGTGGCGGTTTTTGAACTTTTTTCTGAGGAGCAGAGGGGCGTCCTTTGATATTGACTTACAATAATATATTCAACACAAGTTTACAACAAACATTTATTAATTTGTTTTAATTAACTTATATATTTATTTTACTTTTCTACATGAATGTACCAAATTTTTAATCGACAACAAAATTTAAGTTAAGTTTAATAATCATGACATTTTTCGTAGTCTAAATTCGGAGTCTGCGGAGGAGGGGGGTCCAGTAACCCTGTACCTCCTCTGTAAAACCGCCACTTCATCGCATAGTATTATATTATCGCCTTTGAATCGCGATGGCGGAGCACGAAATTAATTAATTTCTTTTTTTATTTAATACGGTATACACCTACCTATATAAATCGGGTTGACATCTTATAAGACGTTAAACGTACGTGCGACGTGGTCGTGTTTTTGTTATCTACACGCGCCTTGCGGTTAATTCGTCTTTTGTAGATAATAATATTTATACATTATAATCGTGTTCTATAATATGGTCTAATACTGTTTATATACTGGATATAGATAATACGCGCGCAAAGCTCGTTAAAATCAACATATAGACATCGCATTTACACCACGGCGGTTGTAAATTATTTAGAATCCCGCAAGTTATACCTATTATATTATTATAGTAAAGACCTAGACGAATTATGCGCGCTTAAATCGATTTCGTGCAGCAGACTGTATAATATAATATTCTGTACGTTTGAAATGTCGACATACTATATAATACTATATGATAGTATATTTACGCGGATTTACGCGCGTGGAAAAAAAAATCATTTGGAAAATGTACAAGGTACACATGCAATATTTCATAATACTCGTTTCGACGTACAGTTTCAAGTTTAAGATATTATTTTAAACCGTGATCAAACCACACGTGATACGAGAATTCTGAGGAACATCGAGCAAAGATGAGATGACGCAATAAACTCGTATGAAATAAGATCAAACAAAGAATTAGGAGTTGTTCGTGGAAAACTGAATAGGTAGAACAAAGCTGAAATCCGACACCAGGGATCCGAACAGACCAATAAGAAGACTCGCCAACCAGATCGATAAAAACAAGAAATATATAAAAAATAACAGAATTTCAGCGAAGTGGATCAATAGACGGGTAGAATGGAAGGCAGTGCTTTTACCGATATTTTATTTCTTTATCCACCATACGCGTATACGCAACAAAGCAATTTAAATCATTTTATTACAGTCAGTAAGATGTAGTGAATTTAGTGATAGGAATTCTGAAAACAGATTTGAATTCGGTGAAAATAAGTGTCACACAAAACCGATCGGACCACTTTTTTCGAATTTTTTTTATTTTTACATGTTTTTATGAATTTCAAATCAAATTTTTTGGAAATTAAGATTCAAAAATTCCGACTTGACCGATTTCACATAAATACTTTACTTAGAATTTGAATACGTTTTAAGAATTCGATCGCTTCGATGCACCCCGATCGTACTGATTGACGATGGGGAATATTGGTATAAATCTAAATTTTCTAAACACTGCGTATGTGTAAGACGAATAAAGAAAATATCGATGCGCTGAAGTACAATTTTTCACGCGGGTTTCTAGGTACCCACCCACCTACCATTATAGTCGGGAAAGAATTTTAAGTAGGTATTATTAATATAAAATGTTTCACGAAATTATAAAGTTCTTCCATTTCATTTGATTATTATTATTATTTTTTTAATAGGGCGTGATTTAAAATACGTAATGAAAAATATTACAAATGATTATTTAATTTTATACAAATATGATCGTGTCATCGAGCATTGAGGTTTTCCAATACAAAAAAAAAATATCCTCAAATATGAGGACATAATAATTTCTAAATAAAGTTATTTTTATCTAATTTTCAACTCGCAGATGAAATTCGCAAAAAATTGCATTATCAAAGGGCGTCGTGGGTCCCGGCACTCCAACACCCTCTGATTGACGCCACTGGATTATCTGTATTCCATCCTGCGATCGTCTCTGTATACGATAATAATCTCAATTGCGATCGACGTTATTTTATTTCAGTATTTTTTGTATTATGTTATATACACAATAAACGGACACACGGTCCTATTACAAATACGACTGCAGTACTAAAATGCATTATTTGTTTTGTATACTATGTATTGAATTGTTTGCATTTTTTAACGCTGTTGTGCGCATACTTTAATGCATATTTTCCTTTTTTTGTGTGCATGTTTGCTCGTATATATATATTGCGAATTTACCTCATGTATAACTTCCGAGCCCTATTTATACGAATACATAATAACACGACCGTTTCTCTCTTTAGAGTATCTCTCCATAACCGACGACGGCGAGTGTAGCGTCTTAACCACAATGATTCGGTCGACCCCGGTGAATGTTCCGAAACGCGTGACTACTGCACGGACGGCGTCGACAGCCCCTCGAATCCGTTCGTGAGCATACTATTATTTTTTTATACGTGTACAAAGTGTATGTGTGTTTATATTGCGTGTGCGTGTCGAGAGACCAATAAAAAAAAAAATAATAATAATAATAATAATAATAATACCTAGTAAAAGAATTCCGTTCGAGGACTCGCGCGCGGAGATATCGTTTATAGTCAACAAGCCTTATTTTTTTTTATTTCTATAGATTATTATAGTCGAAAGTTTCCGTGTGCGGAAGTACCTATAATGATTCGGATATTAAAAATTTAGCTCACGTTGTTCGATTTTAGTCAACAGCGATCGATGAAAACATGTTTTCCGTTAACAAAGTCAAACGAAAAATAATTGTTATAGTTATACATATTAAGATGTGTTTTTACTTTTTCCTCTTTTGGTAAATAATTTTTCGATTAGTGAAAACGCTCCGAATCGTTCACGCCAGAGAGGTTATGGTGGTTTTTAAAGAATTCAAAAAAAACGGACACAAATATTAACGACTATGCATAGGGTTTTAATTTTAACGATTTCTAGGTTAATTTGGCTACAAGGTAAAAATAACACGAGTTATACACTTAATAACCTCATCCGTTTACCGAGCTGATTGCTCCGATCAAATTTTTTTTTCGAAAACGCTACACTTTTCAACGGGGTGATTAATTTAAAGTAACACAATTCTGTATATATTCGCGTACAGCAAATCAGACGAATCCGATAAATATGTAAGTATTGTTTTTGCCATTAAAATTGGTATAGTTATTTTTCTTTAAAATTATTTCGATACGGTACCATTCAGATAAATTGGTAAAAAATAAAAACTTTTTTTTTGTTTATTGCTCCTGAACAATTTCGATACGTGGGGAGTTTCCGGTTGTTATTCCAAGGTCTTCAATATAATATTAGTAATAGATCTAATAATATTTACTCATCATGCGTGTTTATACCGATTTACAGTTAGTAAAATGTACTCGGAAAACGCTGAACGGCTTATAACTATAATAATATTGCCGCGAGGACGACAGTACTTGCACGTAATAATAAATAAACAGGAACCACTCGATGAAAAAAAATAAAAAACGTTATTACGGAAATCGATAAGACATTATTATACTTGCGAGCGGCGAGAAGAAGGGCGTCCTTTACGCCGTATTCTAGTGTAATGGACGCCCCTCGTTACGGATCTAATATATCATTATCTATACATCTGATAATGTATAGATAAAGTTTTCGTTTTCGCGTTCAATTCGTGGACTGTGATCACTCGAAAACGACGAGAAAATCCGCTTACAGCCGTTTCGAACGACCGAAAGAAATAATAAGGCTGTGAATATTGCTGCGATATTTTCAGGCTTTTGAAACCGATATTTGAAAACTGACCACTCGATTTAAAAAGTGATTTTCGAGAATAACACCTATAGTATATTTAATCAAACTAATTAAAAAAAAAAAAAACATTTTCCCCGAAATCGCAATTAATAATTGCCGTCTAAATCGATAACAAAACTGTTTTCTCATCAGTACGTAACATCAAAGTACACTTAGTAATATGAATAAAACTGCCTTTTTAGACTTAGGCCCGTTCTCACCAACGTAAACGATGATACTTGATTTTTAAACGGAGTTTATAAGATAATCGACCAATCGTGGTCGGTCATCAACAATAAACTCAGTTTAAGAATCAGATGAACGCCTTTTTTACGTTGGCGGGAACGGCCCTTAGATACCGTTTTAAACCTCTTTGCATGCAACAGATTTCGAACTCTGATTTTCACACAAAAAATATTAATATTATTAAGTAATACGCACGTGAAAATAATCGATATAACAACTGTCGACAGTACACCGCTCGTTACTGCCCATATCTATGTCGGTTATAAACATCCGTATAAAATATTTGATTTGTTCGTTAATACTTGTAACTCTGTGTCAAGAGATGGCTTTTGCCACGAGAAAGTCGGGTGTGTATTTTTGATTAACTTACACATCATTGTTATAGGTTGGAGGACACGTCACCAGCCGCGTATTAAGGAGGGCTGGGGGTTTTAGCCTACCCCCACGTATAAAAAACCAATCAAACAATATAGATTATTTAACGTCAATCTAGCGTCATACTATATTGTACATTGTACCAATAAACCAATGCGTATTCGCACCAGCGGCTCATTTTTAAATGCAAATCCATAATTTTGGTATCGATATTTGCGTTTCGCATTAAACAATAAACTTATCATATTTATGATAAAAGTATGATAATTTTCATGAGGCGCCACTTGTTCAAATAAAAATATATTGTTTTGAAACTCCATGTACTTTTTATTAACATAATGTTTTACTGAAATAACAACAAAGATAAATTATAAACATCTATTTGTAAGTATTTTGAGCAGTCAAATTCCCCGTTACCAATATTATGTTTGCGTCCCGCTCGCACGATACTCATTGACATTCGTTTTAAGTTTTTTACAAAATTAACAAAAATTATTTATTTAGATATTATACTTTGGTTACTCGCTAATATGGCATTTTATCTTATTTTACCTAAGTTTTAAAGGTCAGTTCGTCATGTGGTGTGTATATGTACCCATGTAAAGAGCATACTTTACCTACTTCTCCTACTTTTCAACATGTCATAATGCAAAAGAAAACCCTGTATATAAAACGTCTACTAGAAATCTTGCTTCTATTTCAAATGCAACACCTTTTCTAGAAGCAAATTTTATTTAGTTGGTACTTTGTACAGGTCAGTTTTTGATTTTTTAAGTGGTTTTCATAATAATTGGAAAAAAACGTAATATAAACGGGAAAATGTGTATATGAAAAGTATTATTTTCGATTTTGTTTTGTCGTTGTGATTCAGTTAAAAATACATGTAGAGACTTTAAATTTGGACAGAGAACTTATATTTACCTTTTTTAGACATGGTGAAATTTTCAAAACATTATTAAGCTATTTTAAAGCAATTTATTTATAGACATTTTAGTTTTACGAGTTTTTTTTTTTTTGATTTGTGTACAATTTTTCACACACTACGTTTTCCTCTGGCCATTGATAGATCCTGCATACCCAACTACACGTCAAAACGACGATGGCGTTCGGAACGATATTTCTTTAATATTATAAAGACGATGTGATATTTCTAAATCCTCGCGCGGCAATATTAATTATCGTTATGTGTTTTAGATTTATATTTCTATTACGCTTACGCGCACACAAATTGCATTTATACCGATCATTAAACACACGCAAACGTCGTATTATACCGTATTAAAACAATAATAACACTTACATCGAGTGCGTATACGCGTTACACTATATGTTAAACGCTTGTGTAAACTGTCGGGCGACGGCGGGATTGATAAAATTGGAAAATTCGCGGCGAAAACGCAATAAAACTGCGGGTCGTCTAAATGTACAAAGTCAACGCGGCGAGTATTATAGTACCTATAATACGTAATGTACGGTACGATCGATCATCCTGTGTATTATGATATTAGATTATTTTATTGTATTTGTCGTATTGCTTATTATTCGCTACCGTCGTATACGTATTGTCCGCTGGCGTTTATTGCGTACGCGCTGTCATCTGTTGTAAATAATATTACAGCAACCAATAAAAACACGCCGCTGCCGTGATCGACTCAGTCGTGAAAACTGTAGTAATAAAAATAAAAAACGGTCTTCCCTAAAATAGTTGCGATACTATCAAAATGATAATACTACTGACAATATTTTAAAAAAAAAAAACTATCCATTCACCCTGATTGATGGGATATTGCGGTGTCCATGCATGTAAGTATCCGAGATTTTAGACTTTTTTTTTAAAAGTCGGAATTTTCGCAGATTTGAAAACGGGCGAGAGGAGCAATATAATTATATTAAAAAAAAAAAAAAAAGTATTTTAATTGATTGATAAACCTTATTGCGTGAAGAAATTACGTTGAATACACTTATTAAAAATAATATAATAATAATAATAATAATAATAATAGAGAAAAAGCCGGAAACAATTCGCACTGCGGTTCGGCCACTATTGTCTGAGGGAACAACAAGGCCGATAGCCTTATACACAGAGTAAATTGGTTTGGATACTGAAACTTGAAAGCAACGATAATTCTGCGTGTAATCAAAAACGATTCTGAGTGGAGCTCGGGCCAGCTCGGTGAACTGGTAAACTCGTTTTCCGAACGGCCAAACATACGCGATTAAACACGCCCGTAAAAAAAAAAAAAAAAACGGTTCAAAATCGTAAAATGCGCTCAAAACAACCGTAAAAAACACCGGAACGTGCGAAAATACGCGCGATTAGTATCGCCGTATTTTCTATTCGCGTCGTCACGTGAATTATTTGTTTTCGCCGCACACATCACGACCCGACCGGAACACTGTGTACCGTTCGTGGAAGCTTTATGGAAGCATATATTGTCTGTAAACCCGAGCACTAATTAAATTATTAATTGCAGCACCGATTACGATGACGCCGCCGACCATATTACTATTATTACATACGATGTACAATTGTTAAATGCATATTGTTACAATCGGCGAAAAAGGCGTACCATAAAGAATACTGTTCGGATCGCCTGTTCGACGTCAATAATACACGAGCGTAACGCGTTATTATTACAAGTACGTTTTGTTTTCGCGATTCGAAACGGCGGGGGTGTCGGCGGTATACGGACGGGTATAATGGACGAGCGATATAGGTTTTTTTTTTTTTAAAAATATTATTATTATTTTTTAATGCGCCGACAAATTGCGTTCGTTCCGAGCAATTAGACCGCTCCCTTCGTGACTGTGCCGCCGACCCGAAGCTCATCTGCCCTTAATTATATACACCGCCCGTCCCCTCCGTCCGCCGTCACCTCAACGCCCCGCGAACTTCCGCGTCGTCTTTCCGTGTCCGACCGAAAGCCCTTTCGCCGTCGGGTCGACAAAACATACACACGACACGATCACCACTTCCAGCTCTGATACCTGCAGCTATGGCCCGGTATCGCGGGGGGTTTTTCGGTTTTTTTGTTTTTTAACAACAAGAGCAGGTGAAAACGTCCCTGAGTGATGATTATTGTATTAGGTATTACGGTATTAAAATATACCCGTTCGTTGTTTCATACTAACGCGCGAACGCAAAAAGCGAACACATGAAATCGGTGGCGTATCTAGGAATGAAATAAAAAAGGGGCTACAAAAAAAAAAAACATTTTATGCGTTAATGTACTTTAAATAATTCAGTATAGATTCTATTTTTAAAGTACCTAACTATGATACGTCTTTGAGTACGTTCACTAGTACTCTGGGTAATTTTTATATAATTATTATAATTTTTTTTTAATACAATACGGATTTAATAAAATAGTAGCAGTACCGGTTAAAATGTCGAATCCGTTTAAAATATTATTTTTAAAATATTATAAATTATAAAAGTGCCTAAAATAATTATTCGATTTCATATGTGAAATACTTATTAAAAAAATAATACCCAATTAATTTTCGTAGAAACATTTCAAATACGATATTATACAAGTATTATATTCGTATTGTAAAGTTCTTTACTATTTTATTCTGTCTATACGATTATAAGTTGTTTTTTTTTTTTTTTTAAGTCTAACAGAATCGCGAGCGATTGGAAAATCACCGATACGATAGTATACTGCGATTCAAGTGTTTGCAAATTCGTCCATATAAGCGACGTATAGTCCAACGACCGTATAAGCACTCGAAGCTTCAGAGGAAAATAACAAAATAAATACAAGTAGTATACGTATACTTGATAATTATACCGTATTACTAAATATAAAATATGACTAAATATATAAATACTTATCTATCTTATGTATATATATATATATTTTTTTTTTCTTTATAAAAAATGGTTTTCGTTACATGTCGTGTTTTAATTAATCGACTTTAAAATGTAAATACCTATACTTTTTGAGCTTGAGAAAATAAATAAAGTTCAAACGCGCGATTAAAGCACGCCGTGGCGTGACTATTTTTTTTTTTATTTTTTACATTCTTACGGTTATATATTATAGTTTACGTGCGTTTTTTTTTTTTTTTTTAACCATACTTATAGCTTTACTTTAGTCGTGGGCGTTAATTTACCCGGCTGCAAAGACGGGAGCGAAAAACATCGTTTGTGTGTCAAGACGATTATATACCAAAAGTTTTAATACTTATACACATTTTAATCATAGAAATATTATTATTTAATTAAAATTTACTTGTCAAATATTAAACTATCGATTTAGTATCGTAAAAAATAGAGACGGTTGGTTTATTGGCTGTACGAAACGATCGATTGAAAAATTACTGAAAAAAAAAGTTGATATAGTTATAATTATAATTATTATACGTCACAGTATATTGATGTTTTTAATCGTTTATTAAAAAACTGCCATCAAAAATATCTATTTTTCATTTGAAGTGATAGAATTGCGCTCGCATTGGTATGCTATTGTTTGATAAATATTCAACGGCGACTTCTTCTTTATCATTATAAGTAGACCAATTCGCTTCTTTTGCTTTTCTGAGTTTTTGAGTTTTATTTTATTCGACGCGATTTTAATTTTTAAACACTCGAATTCAGTAAGCAAAAAACAAGCCGTAACCGAATCTGTGTAAAATGTAAATGGTACCACGTGACTCTTACGACAATATTTTGATTGCGCGGCAATTGCCGCCTATCTCCATACGCGTTTTATAAAATCGCACCTTTAAACGATTTTTAGTATAATTACACATGTTGTATAATTTTAGTTGCCTAGCCGACGACTATATTTTATTTATAATCATTTTACACCGTTATTGTTGAAATAATTTTTCGTTTTAGCGGTTTACTTGTCTATGAGTACACGACCTTCCTTGTTTTGTATCGAATTTCACGTACGTCCGGCAAATCGCATTTATCGTTATTTGTAGACATTGCAACGACCCAACGACTTAGTTCGCCACATGAGTGACCGACCGCTCTGTGATTGATACTGTAGATATGTTCTCCGCCTGGCCACACCGGTATAGTGGACGAAACGTCAGGCGAGTTTGGCCAGTTTGCGTGAATTGGACGGCCGATATTTTTCCGATTCAACACCACAATACCTATACGTGGTGGTGTACGTCTAAGGAACCGAATCCAAAGTCGTGTTGCCCACTCCATGAGCATTATCGGATTTGAATATTAACGGACCTCACGAACTGACGGACGCAGCTATGGCAGTGGCCCCGCTACAGCACTGCAGACAACCGGCTCCGGGAACGGTTTCAACTCGTGTTGCTGAACAGCCAAAGGACAAGCACTATCCGCAAAACAATCGCGGTGGAAAGGACTCAAGTAAAATATTGGTAGTTGTATTTTGTAGTAGATTTTTTCAAGTCAATTTTTTTTAGTTTATTTTTTGATCAAGAGATTTATAATATTATTCTTTACTCTGCCTATGATTGTATGCCACTAAATCAAATTTAGTTATTTAGACGCTGGACGCGATGTTTGCAGGTTATTTTAAAATTGTGGTCCAATCTATATGGTCGTGCACTTCTTTACATGCTAGACGTTGTGATCGCGTACCGAAATGAGTGCGCCAATCTAGACGCCTAGATCCTTTGATTATTTGTCTATGGCTGAGTGCAACTCTGAGATTGTCCGTCAGTCTGCGATTGTGTACTCTTCTGTGGTTATCCGATGTGCCTTGAGTTTGAATTCTCTTGAACTTGAATAGGCATTTTTACTATTTTAGTCAGAATTCTAAACTTAATTTGTTTAAACTTGATACTGGAATCTCATATATTTTCAGGTCTCTAAGTACACATATTACGAAAAAAAAAAAATAATAACAATAGTAAAACTGTTATTTCCGTAAATATTCTCATTATTTTTACGGTTTTTAAAAAATGTATGTAATGAAATCGTTAACACAGTGGCATCGTAAAAGTTTGTCTGTTTTTCCTACACGGTTTTTCCCCCGATTTTTCCCAATTATTATGAAAACCCCATGAAAAATAAAAAAAATGACCTATTTACGGAACCAACTATATCTAAATTGGAACAAAAACGATCCCTAGTCATTTTTTTTTTTTATTAGAACAAAATAAGACATCCGTCAGAAGAGGTATTTGCAGACAACAAAAATATAACACGAGTCGTAGTAAAACTAATACGGTCCTCGCTTAGCTCAGAATCTAAAGTACTATTCTAACAACCTACGACGGGAAAACGTACGAATCTTCGACTCTAAACTCACACGTGAAAAACAATACAAATAGTAAAATTTGTTGTAAGATATGGCATTTATATTCGTCGGCAAATCTATACAAATCGGTCGCCGTAACGCACGTTAGACGACAGCTGATATAAATACCGAATCGGGCACAAAATATTCCCGCCGTCCAATAATTTAAGAAACCGTTAAAACCGATCGTTTTGAATAGGTCCGCGTGTACACGAGCATGGGTAGTAGTAGGTTTGCGTATAGTAAATTATAGGGGCATTATGTTGTATTAACCATTCGCAAAATGGTTTTGTTTTACCGCGCGTTAATCACGACGATTTTCGCGCGTCGCAAACGATAATATATAAGAGTATATATAAAAAAAAAAAAAAACACAAAAAACCTGTGCCAGGCACGTGGTTGCGCTGCCCGTTTAATCGTAGGCCGCAGCTGTCTGTTTCTCTCACGCCCTTCGGCCTTTCCGTTTGTCGTCGAAAACTGTAGTCACGGAGCTCAACGGATTCGACTATAAAATATTACAAGTCGTGTATTTTTATTTTTATTTTTTTTCAGTTTTTTGTTTCCCGCTCGTTTCGTGTGCTCTCGGTATAGCTGCAATACGGTATATACGCGATCGGGTGCGGGGTTTACAGGTGGGCGGAGAGGGGGGGTAGTGGGGTGGTTGCGTGAGGAGAGGGGGCTGACGATAAAACAATAACAAACGCAAAACTTCGAGGGGCCCATCAGCCACTCACAGTCCGTCCGTCAATACAATAATAATAATAATAATGATAATAAATAAAATATTATTACGCGACGGTATACCAAGTCCTCCGGCGCAACGACTTTAACAAGTTTCCCGTTTTTCCCGTTACGCGGATGTCGTGATAACAATAATAATATTATTATTGTAATAGTCTCCCCGCTACGCGACGAGCACGCGAACAGGCGAATAAGACACGCCCGGGGAGGTTTCGACGGTCTCGACGACGACGACGACGACAATAATCGCTTTTTCAACGACCCCGTCCCCGTCGAGAGCTCTCCCGCGTCCAAATGAAATTATACACCCGGTAAACGTTTCGTTTCCGATGATGCGGTTCCGATATGACACGTATACCAAAACGGCACGAACGCCCTCCCCCCGCGCTTTCACTCATACAGGCACGTCGATTGTTTCCCCCGGGCGCAGCACTTCAAAAGCGGGAACGCTGTCGGTTTTTATTATTTTCCTCGGTGTTACGAGCCGAATACCGCGGCTCTGTACGACAATAATATTGATAACGTCAGGTTTGGCGGGCCGAACGGAAGCCACCGGCCGGTTATCACGACAGATGCCCGGCGATCTCGTCAGGGTTTATCAGAGTTTGCGTGACGAGAAGAATGTGGCCGAACGACGATTAGTCGAGCTGAAAAAGATGCACGTATTTTGTACGTTATACGAACAAAATTGTTTTTTTTTTTTTATATATTTTTTCGATTCGCGTTGCGTCTAACAAATCCATTACTGTTTCATTTTTCGCCAAAACGTCGTTCGCCGATTTATTCTAGAACCGTATTAAGGAACCCCGAGTTTCGATTCCTCAGGGCGCGTCTCTCCAGAATCGCGAGTTGCGGCATTGTCAACATGTTTTTGGCCACGCAGCCTGATACGGATTCCAACGATTCTGCAGGAAAAAAGCACTGCCGCAATAGACGCTCGGCAAAATAGTACGTTTAACCGTTCGCCTTTAATGGATGCTTCCGGTTAGCACGTGTTGTGTACACGTTCGGTTGGCGTTTTTCAAAGTCAATGCATAACGACGAGTTTTCAAAAATGAAAAAAAAAGAATCGTCTACTTTTAGAACAGATACAGACGAACAACGCGTTGCCGACGGATGCGCATTAAATAATAACGGAACTAATTCGCGGTACATGTTTAAAACTAGAAAAAAACAGAAGATTCTAATTACTGTTTTTCAACCGTGTTTCGAAACGTTTATAAAAAGACGAGACTAAATTTCAAGATCGCCGCCAAAGAAGACTCGCGGTCGAATTTCCGCGCAACAATATTAACGATATCACTACTAGTGCACACCGCGATACCAGGATATTACGAATCACGGACAAAAGTCGCGGATCCGTCAAATCGGCGTCATCTGCAGTAGTTATCGCAGCGCGCGGCCCTTCGATCACGCTACAGTATAGCCGACCGAACACTACAATATTATTACATCCGGCTTACCTGTCGTATCTCAGGTCGTCGTCGTACGGATAGTCGGGCGGAAGTATCTGCCAACAGCTGGTCTCGTACGCTCCGGCTTGAACCCCACCGCCGCCGGCACCGGCACCGCCGCCGACCACCGGCTCTTGCAGAGGGCCGAAAGGTACCACCACGGTACCGCCGCCGCCGCCATTGATCGGATTGTTGGCGGGTTCGTGGTGTTGCAATATGCTCTGGTCGTCGTGATGGCTTTGCTGGTCGGGCTGCTGCTGTTGTTGGTGCTGGTGCTGGTGCTGTTGCTGCTGCTGCAGGTGATGGTGGTGATGTTGGTGTTGGTGGTGATGGTGTTGCTGCTGCTGCTGCTGCTGCTGCTGATCGACGACCGGTATGAAAGTCGCACCGCCGCCGCCGCCGCCGTGATGGTCCTGGTGATGATGGTGCTGCTGCTGCTGCTGCTGCAAGACCATCGGGTCGCCGCCGGTCAGGACGCTGTGGTCGTGGTGCGCGTGGTACATGGTGGTCGCCGTTACGGTTTTAGTCGCGGTCCGCCGCAGCCGCCACGGGGGAAAGGCGATTATAATATAATAATCGCGGGACGATCGACCGTCGGGGAACGGGTTGGGCAGGGGTGGGCTACGGGGGAGGACAAGCGTATCGGCCCGTTCGGTATGTTGTTTGTTGTTGTTGTTGTTGTTATTGGCGGGCGTATGGCGCGATGTAAATCACCGTCGTCCGTATAATTATTGTTGTTGCCGCGCGGTTAAGCAGAGCGCACTGAACGGCCGAACCGAACACTCCGCGGCGACGTCGTCGGCGGCGTCGAAGGCGACAGATAAGACGGCCTCTTATCCGCCGCACCGGATCCTTATGGATATGTCTGTCGTATAGATACGGGCGCGCGTGCGTGCGCGCGTGTGTACATAGACGCGCCGCGTGTGCACCGTATAACACACACTAATACGCTGCGTGCGACAGTGTGTAGAACCACTAATTATTGGGACTTTTGTATTTGTACGCGCGCTCGCGCGTGTGTGTGTGTGTGTGTTCTTTTTTTAATATATTTTTTTTTCGTATTTTTTTTTTTATCGCGCATGGGTTTTTTTCGCTCGTCAGGGAAAATCGCTTTTACCCGTATCGCCGCGGCACGAAATCGGTTTTCAAACAACGTCCGTCCGTTTCGAAAGCCGACACGACGACGTCTCCGCGCGCAAAACCCCGCCAAATCGCGTCTCCGTTCCGAGGAGACGTTACCGGCATTTTGAAGTCGTACAAAACGAATCGGGAGGTTCGGAATGAAAAAAAAAACAGCCCGTTCTTTCGATCGGGAGAGGCGGGGTGGGAAGGCGAGCAAATAGAAACTTTTTTTTGGGGGGGGGCGGAAGACGGATTCCGTTCTACAGCCCCCGTTCCCGAAAACGTCGAGGGGGCGACGAAAACCCCTCAGGCTCCCATTAAAAAAAAAAAAATCCCCGACTTCGGTACAGGCAAATGAGAATTCGGGAACTCTGCCGCGGCGTTTAACGAACATTGAAACGACGCGCCCCAATGACGGACCGCACGGTGCGAGTATACCGCGGCCGCGGTCGAGATCTCTGCGTGCGATGTAATCTGAAGTTCGACCCGTGTAAGTAATCTTTCTGTTTCACGGTGTATACGCACAATAATAATCTATCTTTTTTCTTCGTCCTCTTCTGAACGTTGCACAAACAACGCGGCCGCCAATCAGCGCCGTATACATAAATTCGCCGTTCGCCAATGAGTGCGCGTGAGCCGATAATGTTATTATTAATTTTTTTTTTTTCGGATTCTTTGATATTCGTCGTTAGGCGCCGTGGTCGTATTACACCGGTACCCCGCTTATATAATATGTCTATGAATATTATTTCTGCATGATGGCGAATTGCTGTTATCAATGCGGCATGTAATCGTTGCGGTTCTAATCGTATAAATACGACGATAGAACCGAAAATCAATAATGACGCACGTCCACAATATAAAAAAACACTCCCATAAAATAACGAACGGATTGTATTAGTTTATGCGCCGGCGTCGTCGGTTTTTCAAATCGGGCGACCTCGGGCTTAAAATTTTTGAAAAAAGGCGTGTTCAGCGGGGGGGGGGGAAGGTCAATGGTTACATCCCCTCCATATTGGATAAAACGCGCAGCGACTATGCCAATATTTATTTAGCAATTAAATCTTGAAAGTTTCGACCGAGATACGAGGATGAAAGAGCTCTCCCGGGATAACGGGGACGGACGCAACCATTGTTGTAGGTAATTTAATGTACACCAGTAAGCAACGATAAACGATAAACGATAGTTGAATTGACAGTGATGCTCTGTCAATAATATATACGTGTCGTGTTACAGTAAAATAACTAACTAGGCATTATATAATAATATTTGTTTAATGTTGTACCGGTTTTACCGGTGTTCCACATTCGATGAGAAAACGCTCGAGAAAATCGAAAAATGATTTCCCCATAGTACCTCCCCACACCGATCTCCTTTCAGAAAAGTGTATAGCGTTGTGATTTCTTTTGTTTTACATTTTTTACGTTTTATGTATTCTATCAGAAATATTTTTTCAATAGAAAAATGACAGGATATCTTTTACGACAAATTTATAATCTAGTTGGTGAACAAGAAAGTCTCTTTTTTTTTTTTTTTTTCTTTGTAGTTTTTATAATAATTGAACAAAACCAAAAGAAAACGCAGAAATAAGAACGGGAAAGTTTACAGAAATGTTTTAATATTTTCAATTTTGTTTTTTGTTTTCATTCGGTTGAAAATGATATTCCTATGAATAAAATTGGTCTCTATAGACTTGAAATTTTGACAGAAAACTTATTTAGATTTAGTCAAAGCTATTCATAGGCGTTTTTTATTTGCGTGTTTTTCACGTAGCTTTTATTTGGTTGGTGAATATAATCGTTTGACCACACAAGAATATTTGAAAAAAACAGGAGGTTCATTATAATTTGTACTTTATTCTCAAAAAAAAAAACTGTCACACTGACGCTGTCGGGCAATCAAAATAGAAACACGCGTACGCCTACAACAGCCCACGTCGTTCGTTATAATATTGCTCTGTTAATCTTGACGAAAATTTATCGGTCGCTAGTGTAATACACGTATAGGTACTATAGACACTATATTGTCGTTATCGTGAGATAATTGAAAAGTAATGATTAAAATTTGAAACAAAAACACCCAATGTTTGATTTTCGTTTCCAGGTCATCATTTCATAATCGTTTCACCGATAATGCGAATACACCTATACATTACTGTATTTATTTATTGAACTTTATCGTATACATATATACACACAAGACCTAATAAAAATAACACTTAGTCATAGCGGAATTGTAATGTTGCCGCCGTCAAAACGAGTAGCTCAAAATATCGTTTAAGTGGCCAAGCAGGAGATACTAGTTAGAATAATATAACGACTGTCAATATATCACGTTGTACAGGGTGATTATTTATCGTATTATAAGTTCATATACTAAACCAGCGATTATTTACGAAAATGTTCAATACATTTGATATAATACATGTTTAGACGACCGTTTACAGCTATATAAAGGGGGGGGGGGAGCTTAGTAACCACGGGCGTTAATGATTTCATCACTATACATAATGGAGTAAATACAGAGTAAAGAAGAGTAGAAAAAAAGATCAGCTACCTCCACCACAAATGTCAAACACTATTTGCGACAGTGCAATTATGCAACTAGTAAACGCGACATGGATATTACATATAGAGTCTGAGATGCTTCGTAGTAAAAATCATATAATCGACGATTTCGCATCAAAAAAAGTCCGTCGTAAAATGTTATAAATAACATATAAGATTAAAAATATGGACATGCTTCGCACGTGGGTGCAGCCACTGTTGAAGGAAGCCGGGAAGGTAGGATACAGTAGGGAATTCAATGTACACCTGTAGGCAATAATAAACCATTGTTTACGAAAAAAGCGATTCTGAGCGGAATTCAGTTATTAGTGATGCTTTGTCAACAATACGTCTTATTATAGTAAAATATTAAATAACTAAACAGGAATTATATATTTTCTTTAATAATATTTGTTTTAATATTGATTTGATTTTCCCGTTTTTCTTACGATTTTCCCATGATACTTCCCGGTTTTTCACGTTTTATGGGAAAACTCCTAAGAAAATCGAAAAATGACATAAACTACCTCCCCACACCGATTTCCTTCGAGAAAAGATGCTACACATAAAAGTCGAAGCAAGATCTCCGGTAGAAAAGTTATCTACAGAAAAAAAAATAAACATCTCTGTAAAACCATAAGCTTCTTCGTTTCACTCAAAATCTAAAATGTATTATTGTTTATTAAAATTTATAATTACTAATGATCTTATTTGTTTATTATGAAATTTATTTATTAATAATAAATACATTTTTTTTTTCTGATGGAAGGGGCGGCGTCTTTAAAAGGGACTAGGGCGGCACCTATTCTAAATCCGGCCCTGAGGTTAGGTTAGGTTTTTGAATCATGATAACTTTTGTTCCCGTATAAATTTCAACCAAATGTAACTCATAATCATTTATAAATTCTTACTATTTGCAATATAATCAAAAATATAGCATTTTAACGGAGTACCGCGTCATCATAAGAGGTGTCGTACACATATAATAATATTATCAACTGTTCATTTTCAAATAGCAATTCCCATATTTTTCGGCGATTTTTGATAAAGACGTGTTATTTTGAGGTCAAATAGAATCATTATTGGTTAAATTTTAGGATTATCAGTGCTATCATAATCTTTCCGAGATTATCCTCGAGTAGATTATCGAGTGTATGAAAGGGACGTCGGTGTTTTGTGAATTTGCATTTGGCTGAACCACAATTTAAGATAGTATTACTATCTTGAATCGTGGGCAAAAGGAGCGATATAATCACGTGATAAGGGGTCAGAATAATAACAGAGGTTTACGGTTTTCTCTAAAACGAAAATGAGAAATAATTATAATATTGTCTCATAAGATTAGAATTTTAACTACCGCCGTCCTCCGTGATTTTCTGGTGGTGATGGGACCTCATCATTATTTCGTCGCGGTTCATCGCGCGTTTTATAGTGCATATAATAAACACAGGGGCATTGCACCCCCCCCCCGTTAGAAAAACGTCTGCGTGCTCTGACGGTAATAAAGGCACGATATTTGAACATATAATACGTTTTTAATGCGACAATCGTCAAACGCGCTTCCGTGTCGGTTAAATTAAATTTACTCAAAATCGTCGGATATCTGATGGGTGGGCGGTTCGCTAGGTCGAAACGTGTTAAGATAATCACTCTGTAGGCGGCGGACATGCATCGCACACGAATTCGCGCCGAAAGAGAATACCTAAAAAATGCGTAAATGAATCGTAAAATGTCTTATTACACGGTGCCCCTACGTGTGTATAGCAATAATTATGATATCACGATGCTTTAATACAATAACGAAAATGATTCCGACGGTTTTTGGTAGCGCGTCGTTACTATTAACATTATACAGCGCACCTCGTCCGACCGCACTTCATCGTGTTATTCGTTTCGTTTTACGGGCTTACGTGCGCGGAGAATTCTCGCGAGCATCGTCCACTTCGATACATAAAAAAAAAAAAAAAAACGGAACTCTGTAATTTATATAGGTACCTAGTAGCTGGAATTTTAATTTTATTATTATTATTTTAATTTTTTTTTTTTAAAACTATTACATACCCACTCGCGCGTGGTTGTGCCTACGGCGGGTAAACGTTAATTTCCATCGTCCATGTCGTAAAACTGTTTTACAACAACAACGACAATATAAATTAATGACGACAACCGCTTTTATTTGTCGGACGCATTATAAAACCGAAAGCGTTTTTAATGCGTACACGTACCTATAAACATTAGATAAGTGTTCGGATATTCTCGATTTCAATTACTGACGATAGTTTGAATAGCGCACGGATTAAATTGCGCTTAACGCTATATTCGTCTAAGACTCCTCGGGAGGAGAGCGCATATAAGATGTGTACCACGCGGCCGGGATCTGGCCATCTAGGCGCGAACGGTTTTCTCACCCCGCATCCGAGTTTAGCTACGCTCGGAATCTAAAATCTTTAACAAAAAAAAAACTTAAAGCGTGTGTGTATGCGTGTTTGTGATGTATTAATATACAACAAGGGTAATCTGTTTTTCGCGGTACGGACATTTTTATGTTTGTTTTATTGTAGCTACACCGAACAGCAGATATCGGGTATAATTCGTCATATTATTAATTTTTCATTGATTATTTTTAATTATTAATATGAATGAAATAAACGAATCAATCAATGAAGACGAACGAATGTCGTTAATGAATTATTAATTGCGTTAATATTGTTAAATTTTTAAATAATAAACAAAAAAACCATTTGTTTTAATTCAATTTTAAATTTAAATAAATTCACGAGAGCCGACGTTAGGCTGCAAATGCCCATGGCTGTCGACGTACGGTATTTGCTTGTATCCGTATCATAAAATATAGGCCGTATCGATATCAACTACATTATTGTTATTGTCGTTGATATTGATTTGAATAATATTGTTTTTTTCATTAGTTTTAATACAGAGCTACCAAATACCCAATATGGGTAACCTCTATGTGCAGCGTTTCCCAACTGGGACGGGGGGAATTAAAATACTTTACGGAGGGTATTTATTTATTTATATAAATATTTATAATATTTAAACATGAATATTTATGCACATGAAGGTTACAGGGAAAAAAAAATCAGAAAAGTCACTTTTTTTTTTTCAAACTGAGAACAACGTCTTTTCAATTTAAAAACGTACCGATTTATTTTTTCACAGAGTAAAAAGTTCGGACTAGACTGACGGTTGCACATTGAAATATAACAACCACAACATAATAATATCATATTAGATTGTTAACTAAGGCTGTAGCCGTGTATTAACCCAAACTTACCTGGTTATAAATTGACAGCTGTCTGATATTTCCTGTAGGCCTAAACTTCTGACATTCATTACTCCCGACTTATCTGGTTTTTTTTCGCCGTTTCGACCGCATAAAAAATACGGCACGTCAATACAAATTATTTGATACCGACATCGCCATCTTGGAAAATCCGTCACTTGTAATTCTATTTTTCCGGGTTTTTCAACCCATACGACTTTTGTTTCATTTTCCTTGGGTAATACATGAAAACTATTATTTGAATCGATAGAGTAGAATGTTTCACAACCAAAAACCTCACAATAAGTTCTGCTTGTTCTTAATACTGCCATATTTCATCTAAATAACTAAACAGTATTGAACAGTATTTTCAAGAAACATATACGGACCGGAGTACAGTGGATGAACGAGGTATTTATGGAAAAAGAGACAATGAAGAGCTATATGGTCTATAGAGAAAACTCAATATACTTACATACAGAAGATACAAACGCCCAGAGTGGTTAGGACACGTATGGAAAGCTGATGAAGATACATTAAAGAATGTTCTCACAGACAAAATTCAATGAAAAAACGCCCACTTGGAAGACCAAGTGTGAACAAGGTGAAAATACACTGTATAAAAGGATATGAGATTGGTATAAGACAGTGCAATGTTGAATTGGACTATACATAGAGAAAAATGGAGACGTTTACTAGTTACTGAAGGCAGCACAGTATACTCAGGTATCTAAACAGAATAGTTTAAAATGTGTCAACGTAAACATTTATTATAAATGTTATATGTACCTATGCAGTAGGTATACAATTAAATTTGAATGGTAAAATATAATATACAAATAATTAACGATTAATCATAAAAGAAATCAGTTAAACACTAACCCACTAAACAGTTTTTGTTAAAACATTTTGAACAAAATGTTCAAATTTAATTCAATACCTTGTATTTAATAACCAAAAATATTCAAATTATATAAAAACATCATAAAAAAAAAACCTGTTTTACGTTTATCCACATGTAATTGTGTTCATCGGCTAGTAATATTTTTGTTCGCCAGACTGCGTTTGGTTAAATTGTTTACCCAATAGGTATTAGGCATTAGGTACCTAATATTATATTATTATTATATTAGATACATTTTATCTTAAATTGACTGACATATAACGCACTCTAGTGGTGAACCGTATTATAAATATACGCGTACAATGTTTAAGAGATAGCGTGGTATTCCGTGTCTACATCCTCTTCACGATTTAAGATAACAATATTAAAGGATGTAAACACGGAAAACCACGCTATCTCTACAAGTCTAAAACATCGCACACGTACACTTTTTAGTATTATTGACCACTAGAGTACGTTGCATGGCCGTCAATTGAGATTAGCATTGCCGCCTGATATTACTTCGTCGCGCAACTATTCATTCTGCAACCGCCTTGAGAATATTGTATCATCAGGTTATTGTAATAGTAATAACTCCGCTCGAACGTTTTATCACACACACAAATTAAAAATGATAGCATAGGGGCCACGGATATCCACAATATAGTATAGGGGTCAGCCAAGAGCAGATACAGAGGTCTTAAATGGTGGGGGGGCAACATATATAAATTAATAATAATAGCTAGACGTGTAAAATATCGCGATGGTTTATAAAGTCTTTTTTCCATCCTAGTTAATACTTTATGGCGCAATATTTTTATATGAACTCTTTGGAAAATTACAAACATAGTATCTCATTAAAAAAAAAAAAAAAAAAAACGATGATTTCATATAAAACACAAACAATAATAATTACCAAGAAAAATACGAATTAGGTACTATAAATTAAAAAGAACTATGAGATATATTGTGCACAAATATTGTGCGCAATAAATATCAATGCGCACATTGATTCGGGACGTCGACCAGTCGTAAGTGATGTCCGGACGGACGGACAGTGGGCATCACGGGGAATGTGCGGGCCGGGACTTATTACATGTGTGTGTGTGTGTGTGTCGACGTGTATTGACAGAGACGGGGCCCCGCGTGGAACGTTCGTGGGCGCCATACGTATTGGGGAGACCCCGGCAGGACCGTGCGGTTGCCAGGTCGCACGGATCAGATTACCGTCACCGGGAAGTGTGGCGGAAACGCTTTTTGTGCCGTCTCGGCGGCCCTACGGGGGGGTGGGGGTGGGGGGTGCGTCCGAACGTGGATCGCGAAATGGGGAAAATCGGTCTATTTATATATTCTTTTTTTAAATGCTCACACACGTGCATGCGAAACCTAGCACTCGGACGGGATAGTAAACAAGAGAGAAAACAACAAAATACTGGAGGGGGACGGGGGGGGGTCGGCCTATCGCACTTGGGATGCGGAACGCGGGGATTAGCACAATGAGACGGGCACACGAATCTAGCCGGTTGGTTCCCGCGAGTAAATCCAGGGGAAGGAATCAACACAAAGAGAAAACGTTTTACACACACACAAACACACACATATACATAAATTCATACGGAGAGACCTTAAAAACTAATTAACTAACTAACGGGGTGTCGGCCGACTATTAAATTACTACATACGTATTACCATCGTTCCGCCGTAGTAGACGTCCGCCGGACCCAGAACGGCACTCACTTCGTCGAGTCGTCCGTGGCACGACCTTTGCTCGGCGCGCGAAAATCGGTGAATCGGCACGCGGCGGTGTTCCGTTAGGCGAACTGCGTCCGAAGACCGTCCGGGCGACGGTAGTCTCGAGACGTGACGTGCACACGCGAAGTAGGGAACCGAACGAACGGACGCGTAACAACCGGGTAGCGGGGCGCGGAGACGTTCGCGGCGCACGTCGCCGCGGGCCGACGTTTTCGGCGATAAGGGAAACGGTGACATGGTTGGCCGTTAACCCCGCAGTCCAGTCGGTTGTACAATATCACTGCGGACGGCGACCGATTGCGATCGCGTAAACCTTTGCGCGGGACGGGTGGGGAATTACCGTTCGCGACGACACGGCGCGTCCGTCGACGCGGGCGTACGCCGTATTAACCGGTCGACCGTGCCTACCGGCGGTGCGCGTGCTCGTCATTTGACGACGGGAAATCGTCGGTTTTTCGGACGCGTTACGCGACAGTGCTGTTGAATTCAATTTCAATACCGGCAACGACCCCGGAGAGTGCGCCCCGAGTGCCGCTGCCGAGGACTCCTGTCCCGCGGACCGCGAAAGTTGCCGGAGGGAAACGTCGGCCGTCCGCCGCCACGCCGGACGGCGTCAACGTCGTGCCGGGCTCCCGCCGAACGCCGCGTTGGGTAATATGAACCGCGTTTGTTAATTTTGTCGATTTTCCCTGTCGTTTGCGCGTATTTACTTTGCCGGTTTTACCGTTTGTGCGCCTACATCTATCTGTTACTCCGTTTCGGTTTGTCGACCGCGCGCTAAACGTACGGCGCATACCCAATTCATTCGTGCGTACAAATACCCGCGTGGGTAAACGGCCATTCTCTGGTTTCCAATATTCCCCGATTTCGAACCACACGTGTGACATTGGCACGGTTCGCGTCGCGCCACGTCGATCGCGGTGGTGCCGTTCTTGCGAACGCACACGCATTCGTTCGTCCGAATTTTCAAACCGGGTTATCTTTACACTCCGTTTGGAAATCGACGTTTGTGTTGATGAGAACCGCGTCGTTCTAGAGGACGGTGGATGTTCGTCCATTCATTCCCCCCCCCCCCCAAAAAAAAAAAAAGTCCACCGTTCAGCATTAAACCGGAACCCCAGCCGCCTCTGGCGCTCATTATTCCGTTCGCGTTGTGTACCTGCAGCCGCGTACAGTCCTGCTGAGGCTCCCAACGCACGGTTCGTGAACACGAGTCCCACCGCGAACGTTGCCCTCTCCGGGATCCGACCCGTTTCAATCCACACGATACACAACGGTACCTGATAATTAATCTAGTAAATTGTTTACTATGGCCCTCCCGTTTTCTAATGTATTCTACCCCGACGTACTTACCAAAAATACAACGTGACTTGATTTTTCCGAAAACCCCAAACTTGTCCACGGGTTAGCGGCCATTTTACCTGCCGCGGCTGTCAGACAACACTGGCTCAACCACGAGGCCCGGCTCGAGTTGTAATGAAATGTCCCGCTCGCCAGAGGGCGTGTAGTTACACTTATTTATTAAAATAATAGTGGGATTTTGTTTTTGTCTTACGTCTGTTATTACACGTGTTAGAACCCAATCCGTATTCGTAAATAACGGTTCAATAGATTATACTATTATTGATAATGATAAAATAATATAGATTTATCCATTTACACAAGCCCATCGCTATAGTACATGTATAGAAGTCGGTAGTTGTTCTAACGTTGTTAAGTTAAAAAGTTGTTCTATTCTTGTAACGATTGTCTATGCCCCACATATTTTGAACGTTGATTTTAATCTAATGTTGTCTTGCAGTTGAATTGGAATTGATGTCTGGGGGGTTAAATTCGTTGTTAGATATATCATACATTTTAGAAATCATCAACTGTTGTCTGGGTCAGTTGAACATTCAGACAAGTTACATTGACCTTGTAATAAGATCTGGTTAATTTATCGTCTTTGATCATTTTTTTTTTTTTTTTTTTACTCAATGAGTTAACCATTAGGTACTTAGTGTTGATTTAACTAAAGAATTCCTGTAATTTAACTTCATTGTACACACAGTAATTACACTATCATTAGTTATTATTAGTAGCATCTATTTTTTGTAATATTTTGTATCACACGTTTTTAGTTTAGACCACAAATTAATGGTCACAAAATAAAATTTGTCTCCATAACCTTAAATACAGTTATTCGCAAATTTGTCTACCATTTATAGTTGTTCACAATTTTTTTTTTTTTTAATATTTCCAGGTTTAAACATTATCAAGGGAAAATCTATGGGTAACTAATGTAAGAAGTAAACTTAAAAAATATTACATAACATTAACTAGTTTGTATTTATTTATACATTATTATTTCAACAAATTTGTTTAAATACGTTCCTCTGGGTTTAATTTATTTTTAAAAATTAGTAAATTAATTATGACAAGTATTAAGATAACAAGTTTTAAAATACTTTGTATTTGATCAAATCTCTTTGATATACGTATTCTAAATTTATTAAACAATTAAAAAATACTATCATTATACATTTTATAATTCCGTACCTACTACACATTTAATAATTTCCTACTAAACACAACAGATTTGGTATTACACACAAAAATATGTTGATTAGTAGGACTCTGGTACTTGAAAAATATTTTAAAAAGCAAAAACTATAGAAATGTTTAAATTTCCTCCTCTAACTACTCGTTAGTTATTAAAAATATTTTTCTAACGCTACACAAATTATTAACTTTGTTATTTTTTTTTCATAATGTACATAATTTA